TTCGAAGTAGAATAGAATTGTATGTGAATTGTAAAAGACGACATGCTGCTATACGTTGACAAAAATTGTGAGATAGGCCCTTGGAATGAGCTTATCGTTACAATAAACCCTCACTGCGTATGGTATTTATAAAGTTCAAAACTTCGATTGCCATTTCTTATGGCAAAAGGTCTGCAACAAAAAATACTTTGAAAACAAAGGATGATTTCCAAAGAAATACACTTGAGTTACGCTAAAAATAGCAGTGTCATCGTTTTTGAACAACTATAGTTCTACCAACTGCTGCACACTAATTATACCAACAACAATAATCAATTACTGAATTTAGAATTCTCGCCACCTTGAGTAAGTGGAATGAGGCCTGGAGTGTAAGCCTCTTACAAAACCTCGATGCTACGTCACGAATTTTAAAGCTTCCTTCAACTCTTTTATCGCTTATATTTTAACAATGGCTCCTTGGGAATCCAATCCAGTTGGCTTATTAAGCACCGGCCAAACGCTCTCAATGTTTTACTCGACAACGCTCTCGACATTCTACTCGAAAAAGTCGAGTGTTTGGCCGGAGCTTTTGATCTTTATACCTTTAATAGCATTACCAAAAAAATATGATGGAGAATAGCCTTTGGAATTCTATTTCTACCTTTTCTGCTTAGTAATCCCAGAAATCAATAAAGATTTCATAATTGTTAAAGATTAAGTAAAATTTGATATGACGTGAGATTCATTTGTAGTAAAGTATGACAAATAATTCTTAATTTTAAAATCTAATGATATTCCCGTAAAAAGAGTAAAACCAGATGCAACAGAAATGAACTTAAATTGGATTATTCTTAAGTCAAATATAATTGAAGCTAAGTTATAGAAAGAGCACAGTTGATATCTAAATGATCAAACATTACAATATGAAACTTGAGAAATGCATTCCGCTTTCGAGCTAGGCCTAACAAGTATTGAAGAATTAGGTGTCAAAGCAACTGTTACCTGGAAAAAAGCTTATCTTCAGTTGTCGGCTTCGTGTATCTTTTTTATTCTCACAAAAGTCAGCTAGGCAACAAACTAGAGTATCGAGAGAAAGAGAATTGACTTTTATTGTGGATCTCAGGAAATGATAACAGCTAGGGACAACATCGACACTTGTCGGACAACGGATGTTGTTTTTGCTGCTCTTTTTCCTGAGTGAAGGATAGATATGCATCTGAGATTGTCCTCTTTGTTTAATTATCAAATGGTTTCTGCAAGTTACCAGGGGATTCTGTATTTTAGTTTTTAGCTAAATGAAGTTTTTTGTCTACAACGGGACCTTAAATGACACATTTCAAAAACCTGAGTTTCAGCATAGAAAATGCTTTATGGATCAAAATACAGAAGAGGGCTGTTCCGCCTTTTTAGGGTTGTGCAACATAACTACTAGCTGATGAACATTTTTGTTATACCTAAGAATGCAGAGAATAGCAGAGGAGCCAATCACGAGTCTTGATTGCAAACTAAAGTAGAACGCGTTGGAACGATCGCCCATTTATTCCGTCAAATGATAAAACCAGTGTGGAAATAGGGAAATAAAACAACAGCGATACAAATTTGCTACTTTTTCCCAAATCGTTTTATAATTTTAAAGGTTGCAGTCAAACTATTTGAGATAGGATTTACTGCTAAGGTAAGGCTTTCGAAACCAAGCACATAACAGTGTCATTTTGCGCTGGAGGTTTCATGTCTACCTGTAGTAGCTCTACATTCATCTGAATTTCCATACTTTAGTGCTTGCAATTTTTTTGTGATGATCACACCAGTTCGGACCACCTCAACGAAACTTTAAGAATGGAACTCTTTTGTCTTTCACTCAAATTTACAAGAGGATAAGAAGTGATTGTCTTAATCATGCTGTGCTGTTCTATACAAAGGCCTAAAAAACGTCATAAGTTTTCTGAATCTTTGTAATTATAATCATGATCAAGCACCATAGCCATAGCAACTATAATCAAAGCAAATTTGATAGTCGTAATTACACATAATAACAAAATTGATGATATTGTTATTGAATGAAGATATTGTTAATTTATCAGCGCCATCTTCTACATATCAACAACAGCAGCAACACACCATCGTCAAATCATCAAAAGCCAAAACTGCCATTATGGATTCACAAAAAACACTTTGATAATGGCGTCCAATTAAAAATTTCCTAATTACCGTTAATACCATTGGTCAGGGGCGCAGTGGCTGGGGGGCAGGGGGGCAGCCGCCCCCCTGGCAAAAATTTTGTCGGATTGTCGGAAAATCCAACGTTTGTCGGAAAATTTGAAATATTAGACAAAAAGTAAGGTTTCCGTCGATCCTGTCCGAAAGGTCGCATATTTTTTTAAACCTGTCGTAAAATAGGGCATGCTCAACCCTTCTTACTTATTTTTATTAGAGTATTTATCGGAATCATCGCATTGTTGAAATTTGTAAAGGAAATTAACGCTCTGGTCTCAGTTTTTTTATAAACTCCCATTTCCGACAGTTAAAATTCAACTCAGTTCATTTCGAAATGGATTCGCTGGTGTTGTAGAAGACGCAAAAAGTTAATATTTTCGCAATGACTTAGCAGAGGAAAATTTTGTCGAGCGACGAATACGCAGAAAGAAAAAGATGCCAGGGGAAAATTGCATATATGAATTAGAGGGAAATAGGGAATCCGTATATTATCGTGATAGTAGATACAGCTATCAGCTCAATGAATACAAGATTCACGTCTCAAAAGGCGATTTTGACAGATTTTGCTTTGCTCAACCCTGAATGTTTTCAAAAACAATTGAAAGGCAGTTGTGTGCAGTGTAATTCAAAAAGGTTGCGAAGAATTACAGCCTGGATGACGAAAAATTAAGAGATGAGTACAGCTCTTTCGTCAATAATTACCGTAAATTTTGGAAAGTTGCAACCCTCTCCCGGCTGCAGGAGAAAGAGAAAACTTTTCAGTTGCATTCAGTTCTTCAGTTGATGATAAGTATAACCTGCAAAGTACCTTTCCACAGCTGGTCCTTCTTTATAAGGTTCTCGTCACTTTGCTAATAGGTTCAACAAAGTATGAAAGAGCTTTTTCAAAGCTGAGGATTGTAAAAAAATCGGCTACGGTCAACGATGGGACAAGACCGCCTTTCCTCTCTGATAACAATCAACGTCGAAAGTGATATTTTACAGTCGATAGACTATGATGACATCATCAATTTGTATGCTGCCACACCTCTTTTGAGTAAGATGCTGCTTGAGTAACAGTTTATATAAATTTCAGTTAAAAGAAAACTATTCTTTTGGACGCGTTATATCTATTTAAGGTTTAGCATAAATAAATGCAAAGTAATTATGATGCGATTTAAAAATTGCCAAAAAAAACTTTTTGCTATACACAGCTATAAACAATAACTTGACAGTTTATTGTCTGGTATAGCGAGAAGACTTGTAGGGTGTAAATTTATAACTAGTTGCAGTTTTGTTTATAGCGATTTATATTTGGTAAGTTTTGTTAGAATGAAGGCTATTGTTGAACTTGAAGGTGTATAACGAACGATCCATTCGTTAACGATTTCCAGATCCATTCGTGATATTGTAATATCAAGTGTTGCAGTATATGCAGCAAGGGTAATCTTCAAGGAATGTATTGAGAAAAAATTTGTCGGAAAAATCATAGTTTTATCGGAAAATTTTCAGCTTTGCCCCCCCAAAAAGTTAACTCCCGCTGCGCCCCTGCCATTGGTCATGCTTTCCTGCAAACAGGCTGCCGACCAAAATTACCAGATTGCGTGTATCTCCACCAGCATAAATTTTTTTAAAGAAGTTGCCGTTCGTTCTCTTTCATTGTTGCCGTGCGCTCCTTTTCATGCATTGCCGCGTGGATTCTCATTTCCTTTTTTCCAGAACGTTGCTTTCAGGTCAGTGGGATAATCTATGGCGTTCATGGGTGCGGATGCATCTCCCGACAACTTAAGCAAGGAAGGATTCCTTCAGAAGATTAAGGAAAGTTTTGCCCATATATATAGAAGAAGTTTCGAAAACTATAATAAAAATGCTTTACTTATATTCAAATGCAGGGCATGCTGTCTCTAAAACATACTCTTCAATTTCGCATCCCTTTTTTAAATGTTTTATTTAAAAAGAAAATATCCTGTTTACGCCACTGCAGGTGTAGAATCAATCATGTTCTTTGCCATTTTAAATAGAACAGTTTCCTTGTGTACAAAGAACAGTGCCATCATTGCCATACATCTAGTTCATTCAATCATGCTTAACTCAAAGTTTTTTCTTAATCAGCTAAAGCCCTGTAGTGTTTAAGCTCATTGTTCAGAGGTTGACAGCTCTTAAAGAACTGATGAGAATAAGCTCTTTATGGCTTTGTTTTTCGATATCTGTTATAAAAAAGAACTGTTGTTGGTTTTTAGGTAGCCATTGATTTAGAAAAATAAACTTTTTTAATCCCAGTTTGATTTTGTTTAGGCCAAGGGTCTGCAGACCACGAGATCCACAGTAGATGACTCTTATTATGTCTACAAAAAGGAACTCATGAAGCACACAGTACAGGAATAAGTGTTTCTGCAGCTAATAGATATTGTATTTTCCCAAGAATCTGCATTAATTACAAAAGCCAATTTCGGGGCAACGATATATTGGCTATTCAAAAGTAAACTACCATTCTTTAGTGTTAAATGAGTTAAATGAGTACTGGGATATTACGATAGTTCCACCCAGTGCTACCCTGGTACACACGATCATGTGACAAGTAGGATTCGTGATTGACCCTGAAATATCCATGCTTAAGCGCACCAGTCACAAATTTATGGCAATACAGACTAGACGCAGGAAACTTTTACAATTTGAACACGCAAGAAATAAAGAAACTTTCCGAGGAAATGCCGCTGGTTGAGATTTAATTTCGCCTTGTTAAACAGGTCATGTTTCACCAGTTCTGTGTTACTCACGAACATACTTAGAAGGAAAAACCTGTTGTGATGCAAGGTGCCTTTGCTTACCACTCAGTTCCTTGGCTAACTGGAATGGCGAGGCTTTCCAATAGAAGGTCGCAGAACTTTGCCTTTTCAAGTTTTCATCGACAGTGAGTTAAATACATTTTTGCTGCAAGTTTTTGAATGGAAGTACCAGAACAACGTGCAAGATCGAAAAACATTGAATTAACACAAGATAAAATAAAAAATGATAGTAATTGAAATACAAAAGAAGAAGGGGTGTACAAAATAAAGAACACCGAATTTATGAAAAGATAGCAGATCTTTTCGATGGAAAAAATAGTTTTGATAAGGTTTTTTCAGCTAATAAAATTTTAGCGTTTGTGGTTTTTAAGTAAGAATTTCCAAAAAAACTCCTAGCAACAAGGTCACAAGCAAAGTCAAGAAAGTGAAAAAACTGAAAAAGACAAAAAGCTTAGAGGGGGAGTGGATTAAACATTTGATAAGGTGATAAACGTTTTTCATTTGATAAAACCTAGTGGTTTATGGTTTGGCTGAGGTTCTATAGGGGTTTAAAAACGCTGCTGGCAAAATTAAAGTAAAAAAAATTGGTAAATTGAACTTTTTAAACTTAAATTAAACTTAAAAGAAAACAAACATTTACAGTTTTGAATTGGTTTTGGTTATACGAAATTTCAACAAAAATCATGTTGAAAACATCTGATGATAGTGCCACAAAAAAACACAAAAATGAAAATAATTTGGTTGTCAATATCACGATCTTCAAGAATTGGTACAGCGAATCCCCATATTTTGTAAGATAATTAATCAAATAGAATTTGTTATAAATAAGTACCCTTAAAACTTATGGTTGGCAGTTTTTTCACCAGCAAAGTGCACAGGTTTAAAAGGTAAATGACTTTAGCAGATTAGGTTCCAGATCAGTTCAGTCACTTCAAAACCACTTTAGTTCCTTGTTTAAGTTTAATCACATCAAATTAAATCTTTAATTTAAAGACGTATAATGATAACCGTTTTAGATAAAATATTTTACCATGAAATGTTCAATTCTACAAACACTATTCATGAGCAGTACGAATTGATGTAATCTTATAAATGTATTTTGGTTTCCGGATCGGATAGGATAGTGGATACGGCCACGCATTATATAATAAATTGAGCAAGCAATTATCAAACAAGCATTTCAGCAAGTTATCTAAAAATGATTAATTAATAAGGAAGTTTAGCGAATAACCGATTCATAGAACGGGCCTCCAGATTAGGCCTATATGCATTTTTTCTACTTTGCTTTGTATATTATATAGATTTTGGCTCAGGTTTCGCATTCCATTGCAAACCGTTTCAAGATTGATCAATAAGAAGAGAACTAGGTTATTTGCATCGTGCACTGCTTGAGCATAGTATCCAAGTGATGTTGGTAATTAATCAATTTTTTTCAAAGGTTGTGAGCTCTCGAATACACTGCCCATCAGCCAATCAGCTCCTTCTATTCATATTCTGCACCAATTGGAGTTTAAGTTGAAGATCAGGACCTTTAATGTTACCAGCAATTAATTTTTGGTTGATCAAATGATGTCCTTACTAAAATAAGCGTCTTTTTCCTCTTAAAAGTATACATTCAAAAAAGTGTGTTTTGTCAAATAAACGCACATTCTAATTTTCTACTATTGGTAACATATACTGTCCCTGCCATTCTTTTTTCAACTCTGACCTTTTTTTTCTTCCAAATTGCCATCTTCTTGACTTTGGACATCATTCTTCCCAGTGTTATTCTCGTTTTGATGTGAAACATCCTCGTCTTCATCGGAAAGTACCGGACCATGTCTGCATTCTTGGTTTAAATCATTTGGTTGATCCTCCACAGCAGCGTCATCTCCCTCAACAACTCTTTGCGCAGCATCAGCTCCGTCCTCCGCCCGAGCAAACCCAACTGCAGGCCTAATTTCCTTGCTTGTGTCGTCCCATATAATATCTTCTGGGTTCGGAACGGCTGGAAGGAATTCCATGCCAGGACAAATCTTATTGAAAATAGTTTTTGCCTATGGAAGTGTATGACGATAATTCATTAATGATCAACCATGTCCGTAATTACAACTTTAAGTTTTTTCTATTGACTGATATCACAAATGTACGTGGTTATACGTGGATATGAACATTGCTGTTTGCCGCTCTGTATTATAGTGTCAGATGCCGTATAGGCAGACCTTCAGTGTATGGGACAGGAAGTTCTAAGTTGCCACTACGAGTTCAACCCTAATTGCAATCACAATGAAAAACCCAAACCTTTTGCAAGAAGGGTTTCCAACAACATATAAATTATGTAAAAATAAAGACTTCGTGGGACGTTGTGTCCTAAAAGTCTTGGTCCAGATCGATTTGTACATATTTTAGATGACGAATGGTAAATTTTCAGGATTCTGAAAAATAAAACAAAAGAAGAAAAGATAATATTCAAAATATAAAGGAACGCAAAACATTTTACTTCAAAGACTTCATCATCAAAACCAATTGATCCTCCAGGAAAATCTGTCACAAATACGTCATCAGGAAGCTCATAGTTGGCTATTTCGTCTCTGCCAATATGACTGAAAAATGCACACCATAAGAGTCTTGGCCGGGAATCCGCTAAAAAGAGCCAAATTCATGGTTAGTTATTAGACTGTGAGAGCGACTGAGCATAAAATACAAGGCCGTCAGGCTTGAAACTCTGTCATAATGTCAAACATAAAATTCTAAATTCATATTTGATGCAGTTAAAAGAAACCATCTTCTTTATTGATATAAGATTTCTTATTACACAATTATTGTCAAAAATGTAATCAAAATCAAAGGGGTTTACAGATTGGAGCTTACGAGAAATGCTTTTGTCAATTTATCGGAGCAAGTAACTCTGTTATTTTCTGTTGCAGGTTGACGCAAAATTCAAATAAAGAACACAATGTGTTGCCCCCTTGTCAACGCCCCCTTGTCAACAGAAATTGCAATGCAGCTTCTGTGAAAGAATAGCTAAAAGGTATGAAATTGAATGTCGTATGACTTTGAATTCGGATAAATCTCAGCAAAAAATATTACTTTCGACGTTCTCAGTTTTAAACAGCAAATCAATTGTCGGCTGTAAATCTTGCTCTGGCGTCCATACTCCTTTTGTAGTCATTTGTACCAAATACAGTCCAACTGGACAAGCCATTGAAGCAGGGCCAATTTCAATCACCTGCACACTATTTACTGAATTTTTGTCCGGGGGTATTGTTAGTAGAGTCACCTGCTCCTCTTGTGACTCTTGTACGGATTTGTCAGTGATAATTATTGCTCTGGAAACGAAAGTTTTGGTGGAGAGTTCATAAACCTTGGGTATGTAATCTCTTCCCAAAATTAAATGTTCTGCGGCTATTTCCTGGTTATCTGTACTTATGATTCCAATAAATTTCTTTCTGGCTTTGTCAATTCGAATTGACTTGGCTGAATGTCGCAAACAGTACATTCCACCAAACACCGCAGACATTCTGCAGAACGCCTGCGGTAGTTCTGATATCCCATATACTGTCCATACAAATGGGCTGTTACTAAAGCGACCCAATGATTTCAGAAATTTTTGCGCTTTACGAAGTCCTATACCAGTACTAGCATTTCCATCAACCATTGAAATCGCATGTAATACGTAATGCTGAAGGTTTGGTGAAAGACGCTTGTGAACAAGAAACTCGACGAAAGGTTTCTCGGAAAATTCCTCATACTCTTCCGGTTTTTCTTCGTATGTAACGCAGAATGAAAGAAACTTCATCAAAACGCGTTTCTCCATCACATTCACAGCCTCGCTGCTGAAAACGTCTGCGCGGCTGCACGGTACCTGTACAATTTCGTTTCCTTTAAGCGTCAGGATCCGCTCGGCAGTTCTGAATTCAGAATAATGACTGATGTTAGCATTTATAAGAATTTCGATCAATGATCCCCTTGCAAATAGCATTTTTGGTGCAATATCGAGGTTGAATTTTCGAGAGAGAAGTTTAAAATCTGCTAAAGAAATGTCTTCTGCGTGTGAAGCAATTCTAGATTGTGCCAGTATGCGTGACAAAGCTGGTGATGCTTCAACACGGGGTACATCGATTGCGGAATGAGCCTCTTGAACTTCTTCATTTTCCTGGTGATCTGAATTTGTACTGTCAGTGGTACTGTCGCCACCTTTCGTAACACTAGAAACAGCAACATCAGCATCAGCAGCTTCACCCTTCTCGTTATTGCTTGCCCCACCAGCATCAGAATCATTCAAGTCTGGAGCATTTTCTGTGTCAACTATGTCTGTGGCTTTGGTATGACTGGCATCAGTAGCAACAGCAAGAAGTAAATCATTAGTATCGCCACTGTTTTCGTTTTGAACTTTATCTTGGCATGCTAAGTTATGGTCTGCTCCAATATCTACTTTTTCTAAGCATCCAGTTATTTCAGCAATGGCAAGGTTCGGCAACTCTTCCTCTTTAGATTCATCAGAAGTTTCAGGTGCCACAGACACTTTAGCAGTTTCAGTCAATTCACCAGAAAAGTCGCTACTGGGCATTTCTGTCTGAAGACCATCGCTGGGATTCTCTTTGACTGGAAGGGGCTTTTTCCTAGAAATAGCATTTGTTTTAATTTACTAAACATTGGAAGTTTACTAAACATGATACTTCCCTATTAACATTTCATTACATATGTGTTACTCGTGGGCTCCGACACAGGTTGGAACGTGAGGAGACCAAGGGAAAATTTAAGACCCATAAGAAATGCTTTTGAAAAAAGCTCTATTGTTTTGCAAAAAGTCGGGGAGCCATGGCCCCCCCCCCCCGGGCTTCCTTCATCGGAGGCCCTGTAACTGAAGAAAACGTTCAAAAAACTATACTTTATCTAAAAATTTTCATTGATCTGGATAGTGTTACTGCTAGACTGTTAAGGTTGGTTGTCTTGGTTTCAGTTGACATTTATGATGTTTGTTTTGAGCTACCATTTCACAAAGAAGTAGTCCCAGGCAAAAGAAACAAAAGAGGATAACACTAAGGTAAAAACGAACAATTTTGTAGTAAAATATAACCTATATCAAACAGCTGCCTTCGTAAAGGGTTGTGATGATAAATGATCATATTTAGCGTGAGACCCGTAGTTGCCACTTAGAACTCTCCTGCTCTACCTACCATAGCTCTGCTTATATGACATAGAGCACTTTATGGCATAGAGCACTTTATGGCAGACCCGCATACAGTTATTTTCAATAGACCAATATCAATACAGCCCATTCTACGAAATATCCTCAAGAGAGCTGCAAAGCTGTGTATAATCCGAGTCATTAATAATCTGGTGTACATCAATAAGGATTTATGAAGAGTCCTTTTATTGCCAAACTTATAGTTACCGCTGATTTGATATGGGCTAGTTCTCTCTATACATACCTTACATAAGACTTTATACTGATATTTGAAATGCTGTTATCATGCTTGGGTATGGGAACAACATCAACATTTTCTATTGTACTTATTCTGGAGTCTTCATCGGCTACCTAAAGAGTAATGAAGGCCAAAAATGTTAATTTTTTATAACTACACATTCTTAAAACAACAGCAGCAATATAAACATAAATGTGGATAAGATTATAATTGAACATCAAAAAAATACAAGGGGCTCACTTTTCAAAAGTGATTCATGAAAACCTACAACTCTCTATATATAAATATTTATATATAGAGTTAAATATTTATTTAACTGCCTTGGCTACGGTGAAATCTCCAGTATTGGCTTCGGAGATTCCTCATTCATTTCATTAGGCCGTTTGGCTCAGTGGAATGAGCGGGGGTTTTTGAAGCAGTAAACTGGAGTTCGATTCCGACCAAGAGTGGTTCGATACAATTGGGCAGCACCCTTGTGGAAAGAATTTTCCTCCTGTCAGCATTTGCCTTATAATTATATAAATATTTATATATGTAATTCAAAAGCTCTAGACTATAATGTTTTTTAAAAAATTAAATAGACGATCAATGAAAAAACAACTTGATTAACGTTTCGCGATATGCTTCTTCAGAATAACATTCATTTACATTTGGAATGCAAAACAAAAGAACAAAAGATAACACATTTTACAAGCAAGGATAAGAATTGCTAATACATAGAATTGCATAGAAAACGCAAAATGCATAGAAAAGAAAGAATGGTAAAAAAGGGGGGAAAAATTTAACAAATATTATTTTGTGGCAAAAATAAATAGCTGTCAAAAGGAGAAAATAACCCAAAAGACTGCAAATAAAAAAACTATGTTTCAACTAACCTAATATTAAGGCCCCGGGGCGCGAAAGTTTCTAACTTCTACTGCCAGAAACTTTCACGTATCCTACCATTCCCATTAAGTCTATCTATAATAGTAACTTTAATATCTTCGAGAAACCCACGATGATCCTTTCCTGCAAAATGCCGAAAAAAATCAGCCTGAGGTATACCCGAAGAGCCCCCGATAAACTTACAATTGCACGCCTAGTAGTTATTAAAACTAAGCCTAAACGGCGTGCAAGTGCTATCCACATACTGTACACCAGATATTTTACATTCCATAAGATACACAACATTGGACGAATCACAGTTAAACAGAAAGTTTATCTTATATTCCTTATCAGTTAAATGGTAAGTAAAAGTATCGCTGTCACACATAACATTACACACTTGACATCGAGACTTGCCACATGGAACACAACCCCTATTATGCGTGGTCCCTGCCCCCTCATTATAAAGTTCAGCCCTAACTACTAAATCTTCAAGATTCTTACATCGTTTCAATGATATTAAAGGTGGCTGAGGAAACACCTTCCTATGCTCTTCTGATATTGTCAGCATAGAATGGAGTCTGCCGGCCACCTTGCCCAAATTATTCAAGGCTGGATGGTATGTGATAACAGACAGAACCCGCCCATCTCCATTGTGATAATGTTTCCCATTAGCCTTATCCAAAGTTTCTCGCAGTATAAATTAGAAACTTTAGCGCCCTGTTGTTGACCGCCTTAATATTAGGCTAGTTGACCCATAGCTTCTAATTTTTTTTTGGGACAGACAGCATTCAGTGTTTCTTTTTCTTGGACTTTTCTTCATGCTATACCATCTGAATGTAAATGGTATTACCATCTGCTATCTCACTTGGTCTATAGTTCTTCTATCTATTGTATTCATCCCTCTTTTCTCACCTCTGGCTAGGCTTAGAAACTTTTATTTATGTAATTTAATTAGCAATTGTTGTTCTTACTTGTACAATGTGCTATCTTTTGTTCTTTTGTTTCATATTCCTAATTTCACGCTCTAAATGTATGTGTTAGTAATTCTGAAGAAGCTTACAGTGAAACGTCAACCAAGTTGTTTTTTATTGAGTATCTAAATATACATATATATATATATATATATATATACATATATATATATCACAAAGATAAACCATGTAGTTTTACTTTCTTCAACTCTATGATACATAAATATATCTATATATATATATAGATATTCAGAAGAAACACTATTGCTTAAACATTTCGACCAAAGTCTTCATCAGTAATACTTTACAAATCAAATGGAGCTAACATTTACAAAATCAACACATTATAATTAATACAATAGAGTTGGTACAATAAAGTGAATGCAATGAGGAGGTTAAAGGAAAATTGCCTATTACAATAGTAATTGTTTAAAGTGTAACTCAATGGGAGTCAAAATCTTCATCAGTCATAAAACATACATGCAAGTATACGTGCATATACATGTACATAAAAACATAGATTTAGTCAGGCTGATATGTGGAAATTTTCACCAGATTTTCACAAGGGTGCTGTCCAATTGTGAAATTACTGCACCTGGTTGCAATTGAACTCCAGTTTCCTGCATCAAAATCCATGATCATTCTACTGAGACAAACAGCCCAATGAAATGATTGGTGACTCTTCAAGCAGCCCCTGGAGGTCTTACCATAGCCAGGGCAGTAGTTTTTTCTGTTTCAGCTTTCTAAGCCTTTGTCAGACCCATATAATGATTATACAATGTACGTTATTTAAATGTATATTTAGCTAAAAGGGGAAGTTAGTTTGTATTGTGTTTTTACCAAGGGCCATGAAAGCATGAGCTACAGGGGCTTAAGCCCCCAGTAATTTCCAAAATGTACTTTAAACCAAAAAAAAGTGCCCTGCTCTTGATTTTTAGCATATTTAGCCCCCCCCAAACTTTTTAGCCCCCCCAAACTTTTTAGCCCCCTCAATCTGAAATATGCTCCATGGCCTTTGGGTTTTACCAATTTATGAACCAAAAGATTTTAATTCCAACTCTGCAGTTCTCAGAAACTGAACACAAACCATTTGCCTGAAATCTGAAGTTGTTTTATCCTTTATTTATCTTGATTTTTTAATAAAAAACTATTAGTTTTCACAAAGTTGATAATAGAATAATTTTAAAATATTTAATGGCAGAAAATACATAAACCAAAAAGGCTAGACAGCAAAATGTGTACATAAAGAATGAAGAAGTTTTGCTCTTACATTTTTCTGGTTCTCTATCCACACCAAGAAATCTTCAAAAGAGAATGTTGCCCATTGCCCACCATAATATTCATTTCTGCCAACAGAATAAAACCATAAATATAGAAAACAAATGACAAACTTTCCTCCAATTTATGTGGAGCAGACTGATTTTAATTCATCTAGGAAAATGTCCTGCAAAAGTCCAAATATTTCTTAAAGCAATGACAGCTGGTAAAGAAAGAGGAGTGGTGGTTCTTTTTATCTTTTCAAAGTTGCATAGAAATATACGAAACTTGCAAATTTCAAATAAGAATGGTAGCTTTGGCAATCAGGTGCTATCTTAAAGTAACAGTTAGGAATTTAACATTAGTTTCTTATTGTGCAAAAAAAAACTGTAAATTAGAAAAATTAAATTAGGTTTGTACCTGTCTAAATGAAGGACCTTTTTACCAATCCTGGACAAAGCTGCAGCAACAATTGATTCTGTGAGACCTAGGAGAGTGTTATTGAGCTGCTTCTGTTATCAAGGTAGAAAAAAGAATCATAAAAATTGCAGGTAAAATCATGGCAAGAACCATTAGAATGTGTTTTTCTCAGCAAACTTATTAGAATAAATTTTTTAAATGAAAAATAATTTTTAGGTTGCAAAATTTCAAAATGAGCTTGTCTGTGCAAGAAACAATATCAATATTTGTTTACAAATTTTAAATATTGTTTCTATAAATATTTGACTGAAATTTGCAAAATTTGCAAAACATTTTCGTGCAGGAGCCAATTCCAGTGAAATGGAAATGAAAAGCTAAATTTTAAAAACAGTTCAATTTGTTATATGATCCATTCTTTGGGTAATATGAAGATACAAAAGTGACAATGCTACATCGAGTCAAAGAATATTCAATGCTGCCCAACTAAGTTAAGAAGATACTTCATTTGTTTGTAGATATTTTGCTCCAGCTCTACCAATTTTATCTACAAAAGTTTTTTATACTATCACTTATCACAAAAACTTAAATGCAGAGCTACAAACGTTTGCCCTATTGTAACTTCCATTCCTACCCAAATTAAGAGCTTCACTTAATATTCAGTACTCATTATAAAGCGTACAGTTACACTTTTTGGAGGAATATAAGGTTTGCATTAGGACAAATTCTGCACTCTCTCTGGTTGTCGTGATCGCGCAATCATGATAACTCTTCTCTTTTTCGCGCAAATTATATTCGTATAGGAAGCAGACACATAATAAACAGCCAAGACCTGGATAATTTTTAACAAATGCCAAATTTTTCTTTGTTATCTTTAATTTAAAAAACAAATTTGCATACCTGTGCCTAGAACGATAGCATCAAATTCAGATGGAAGTGCATCCTCCGCCATATTTATTGCTTGTTTGATGCAATGACCTCGAGTTCACTAACCTGTGAGAGAGGCTGAGAGAATGGTTTGAAGCAAATTTAAGATCTTCAGTTTCATAGTTTCATAAAAAAAGTTTCTGGGGTTATCTGGTGTTTGATCTACTCGAAACGTCGTTAACAAATTCGTTTTTATTGTTAACAAATAACTATTCCTATTGCTTCTCAGTTTGCTGCTTCTGACGTTGTTGATAAAAACATTGGTAAGAGCTGGTGCAGGGCCCGCGCCACAGGGGGGGCGTGGCCCCCCACTTTTCTTGCTTACTATAGGTATTAAATCGGAATTGTCTAGTTTCCATACTGCTCGATACATTCGATACATATCTTGAACTATGTGTTTAGTGCAGGAACATATGCTTGGCAAACCCTGTGTATTATTCCATGCAGATATACAATTTTGGTGTATAGAACAGGACGGTTTTAAGTTGCTACTCCGAGTTTCACATCTAGATGTAGATATACTTTGCTTCGTTTGTGAATGCCTGAATAAGAGCCTCTCTGCGGGGAAATTAGCTGGGGTAAGCCATTGTTCAAATAAAAAGGAGGACAATAGCCTGCTGTTAAATAAAATGGAAAATTACTCGGGCTGGAGGAGCAATTGCTTTTATGATAAAAAGGCACCGGGTTGAACGGAACCGCTCCAATCCATTCTCTGAAGTACTTTAAATCAATGTGATTTGTTTGTGATGCTGTTACTTCGAAAGCTCTTCTAAAAGGGATATATTTTTAGCGGAATCCAGAAAAAATGTTCAAAATCCATGCAAAAAATTTTCTCCAACTCTGAAAAAGTTGGGGCTTGGGCGTGGCACAGTTATTTTTTTGCTTTCATTGTAATAAGGATCAATGATGAATTACAGCAATGATAATGAGAAAAAATTCGCATTTGGCATTTGGATTTATATTAAAATTGATCGTCCCCATTGTCCTGATAGAAAAAATACACAAGTTATTTGCCTGCCAGAACTCCACAGGCAGAAGTTTAACAAAGGAGAGTAAATTTTTCCTTTGAGAAATGGCAAGTGCCAATCAGCGTTGTGGAATTGTGGTCCAGTAACCAGATCAGAAATGGTGGTGTTCGATTTCGTCAAATCTGGCTATGTTTAATCCAATAACTAGGATGTGGTTTTGAAAGGTTTTTGAAAATAGGCCTTCTAAATCTAGCTATTTGCAAAAAGCGAACACTCTTGGTCTCTTTGAAAGCCGATCTTCTCACAAATGCCACTGTTTGAAATGGGCGTATGATAACTGCTCGAGTCAATCATTTAAGCCTGCACAGTCAAACATAGAATATGATACATTTGCTAATCTAATACCAGAAATTTAAGACAATCAAATATCAAATAAGGAAATAGGCCAAAACCTCTCCGTATTTGCCAATACTTTCAGCGCCATCATCCAAAATCACAACTTAATGAACGAAAGAAAGATTGAACCACTAATGAAACGCAACCTGCTCTGTCAATAAAAAACACGTTAATATTCTGGGACCAACTTATTATTAGCCGGCAGGTCCACTGTACATGAACCATTCTGTCTGTTAGCTAATGCTTTTGTCGCAAAAACCAAAAGAAGGATTTTTTTTAAAATCCTGTGAAGCACAACAGTAAGTTTTCGTCTTGGAAGGAAAGATTAAACGCAGTTTAGAGCGCCTAAGTTTGATACCTAAGCGGGCCCCAAGCAAAAAGGGCCCCCAAATCTCCTTCCTTAACTCAGTTAACATCTTGCTCTTGCTTTCGACAAGCTCGACACCATTAGGTGAGACCTTCTTACAGTCCGTAAATTGGGGCCCAGTCCCGTTTTACTTAAGGCCCCAGACACCTTCGTTAAACCACTGTTTGAAGGTGAACTGAACTAGAAAACTATAAGAAGAACGTTTAAAAGACATTTTGATAAGGTATTCATATAAATGACGAAATCATATAAGTATTACAAATTATATACAAGTTTGGGGGCACTTTCAATCTTTTTTCTTCCGTTTTTTCGTCTTCTTTTTGCTTAGTCTCTCGACACATGTGCCACAGTACCATTCAACGTCTTCACTCGGTGCCTGGTTGATTCCCACACAGATCCTGTAATGACAGATGGGAACATTAAATGATTGTTTAAAGAAACAGACTTAGGAAGGATTTACCGATTTCATTCTCGCAGACCATTTCTACTAGTAACTAAATAACTATATTATTTCTAGACAAAGCCTTAAATTGAAATAAAGTGGCTAGCAGCGATTTTTCTTAGCAAATCTGTTGTGGCTTTGTGATCCCCAGATTTAAGATTTGCATGTAACACAAGTTAATAAGTAAAGTCATCATTAGTTTCCCGATAAAAGTGCTCATTTCCTTGACTCCTCCTTACAATCTCTCAACAGAAATCTGGAAAAACATTTGAGATTTAGGAAATCGTATTTCTTGCGATAAGAATATAGTTAAAATTTTCCGCATTCCTTCATGTTCTACTAATCGCTTAGCATACGAAACCTTACAGCGAATAAGGAGAGAAGCACGAAAGGCGATTGGTTTGTTAGAATATTTTCTTGTGTCGCGAAAAAAAGGAAAATAGATAGCAACGGGCCATCAACAGTAATATAATTCATTCAATAACGCATTTTACATCCTCTTGTATTGTGTAGCTGTGCACAGTATACAACTTGCATCGGCACGTTTCCCCAAGTCAGTCCATAAATAACAATTTAAAGAACCTCAATTTTCAAGAACTTCCAATTTATCCGAATGAAAATTTGAATAGAATGTAGCTTAATGACAAAAACAGCCATTTAAGTACATTTCGGAGGCATAATCAAGCTTGGGGGGGGGGGGACATGATCGACTACCTTAAAAGGCGAGAAAAATTAGAGGTGTGAATGAAATATAAAATTTAGTGAAAAAATGCACGTCAAGGGTGTACACTTCTAATAAAGAAATTGTAAACGTTAACTGTAAAAAGAAAAGCATATTCAAGAGGGCCAAGGCAAACAAAAAGCAAATGGAGTTACTTAATTGTATATGCAGTCGAACCCCGTTAGATCGTTTCCCAGATAACTAAGACTTTCACCAAGTCTGGCTGATTTTAAATTCCTATTGGGTTTTCTTACCTTATTAATGGCAATTGCCGTACCCCCGGATAATTGGACAGTCACTAATTGGACAGACTATTTCCTTACCCTTTTTGACGGTCCGATTTAACGAGATTCAACTATAAGAAACAAGTCTCTTTTTATGAATATTGCCGGTCACACATTTTACGACTAGATGGAATCTGAACTTGCTTCCTTTGATTGCAATCCCTAAACTTTAGCTCGGTTTAATGGTCACGGCAACTGGTAGGTTAAGACAGCAACCAGCTAAGAGACAAACTACCTTTGAAAAATCATTGCACTTATGAACCGTTAAAAACGGAATTATCGAGGATGTTCCTTAACTGGCGACTTTAAAGGCCTTCAATGGCAAACCTTGACGATTGCTTCCTTATGAATGAAATATTTTAGTGTAAAGCAGCAAAGAAGACTGATAGCGCAATTTCTCACTTTTAGCGCAATTTCTCTAAAGCTTCTTAATAAATTGCTTTGTCAAAATCATTTATAAATCTACCTTAATCTTTCAAACTCGAAGGGGAAGGCGCAGATAATGAGGTTAAGTCTTTGGGCTCATGAAGCTTGTTAAATTTGGGCAGAAATTTAGAAAGCGGATTAGTTTTGATTAAAATTAAACTCATTGCTTAAGTGTTCATAATTCGGGTAATAATAACAAAGTAAAGGTAAAGATGAGTTTGAATGGCAATTACGTCAAAATTCTTGGCGCTTACACCTTAAGCGTCTTTCTTAATTAAGAAAGTAAACGGATAACTTAAGCTAGATTTGATTTCAACTGGTTATCAAACTTAATATCGCTGTGGTTCCACATCGCATCAGCAATTTATTAATAGCCATAGATGACAAACGAGCTGATTTAGAAAGCATCCCAAATCTTTTTTGAGAGAAGAACAAGAGATTAGGTTATATAGGAGAATAAAGGGTAGAAAGATAAAAAATTGGCGTTTTGTGTAGACATGCGAGGGAGAATATTCAGATAATGAGAAGTGCAGAAGAAAGCGTCTTTAATAATGTAAAGTTTTATGATAACCTGATCATGTATTAGCATAAAAGCTAATCAAAATAAAGAACTATGCAAAGAAGACTGAATCGTGTGCCTACCGTAAAGCATTTGAAAACTTAGATGTCTTCCTTAATCATAAAAGAAGTTGATTTTGCAATCAAATATCTTCTCTTTGGCCACCTGATAAAGTTTCTGTCCATCAACCTCTGACCATAAACTTGGCTGTTTTAATTGAAAACTTGTTCTTCCTCTTCTGAAGACCGTTTTGCAAAACATAATTTGCGTAACTGTATCACACACAAATATATTCAGGGCAGGGTTTCAGCTAGGCCAACAAAATTTCCTAGTCGACTGTTCCTATTTTTTTAGCAGCCTTCTCTTGAGAAACCTATTAAGATCTTAATCTCTCTCTCTAAATTAAAATTAAGTTCACAATAACATTGTGTTTGAATGAAATCTTGTAAGCTTCGACAGCATTGCTAGAAAAGAAAGCTTGGGTTTTGAAGCTCATAAGAAGGAAATTGCAGGGGCCGCGCCAGCCACAAAATAGTGGGGTTGACAATGAAGGGGTGGAGCTGATAAAGAGGTCTTGGTGAGACAAAGGCCGCACTCTAAGAACAAATTGTTTAGCACGAGCCAACTGTTTAGATGTCTTTATTTTAGTTTCTTTCTATTTACGGAAATGATGATCCAATACACCATGTCAGCTAAGATTTGAAAAGAACTGTAACTGACCATTAAAATTAAAAAAATTTCCGATCTCAGAGAAGAAAACTAACATGCCACCCCCCTCCATCCTTATGTATTTTTTATCCAGTTTTAGGGAGAATTAGAAAATCAATCTTAAAAAGAGATGGATGGACATGTCCACCCCAGTCCACCCCAGTCCACCCCAGTCCACCCCGTGGCGCCGCATCTGGGAATTTGGATTGATGCTTATGATAAACTGATTTGGTGATTTCTTACCAGTGATACCATCCATCACATGAGTCACAACCAATCATAGGACTGCCATCATCTGGTCGCAAACACGCTGGACAGTACCAAACCTGAGTCGTTGTTGGCTGCAAAAAAATCCGACATTCTCAAAAACGAAAGCAGCATTCTGAGCTGATGATCGGTCAATAACAAAAACAGATGTAAAACGGTCAATCATAAGAAAGGTACAAAACGTTGTGCTAAGTAATTGATTCTTTGATTTCAACGTCAGTACACCAGAATCTGAGATGCAAGAATCATTCTTAATATCAGGTAAATCGCCAATTTTCTTTGGTAAATGTTTTGTGTTAAAAATACGAAGCAAAGGCTTAGCCGTCTATGTTTTCTACATCATTTATCCATTTGTATTTAATTTTCTCACTCTTCAACGTCACCCTACTATTTCTTGATTATCCTCTATTCCATTTCTATTTCAATCTTTTCTTAGCTTTATTCACCTCTATTCCCTGTCCTTTGATATGTGAAAATTTCCTAACTCCCCTTAACTTCTATTTTTCTTGGTGTATAACCGTTTTTAAGTCTTTTCATTATTAATCACTACTCTGCGATTCATTCAAAGATCTGATTAAGCAACCTCAACCCAAGTAACTTAAATGAAGCCATTAAAACGACAAAAAATACCTCAGTGATCGTTTGAATGAACAACCCACGTGATACCGATTGGTCTCCCACAGAGGCGCCAGAAGGTGGGGAAGATAAGAATTGGTCAGGTTGATAATTCTCACTCTTTGAAGTGGACGATTTTCTAGCTTTCTCTGTCTTTTTTGGAGATTCGACTTTCTTCACTGGCGCTTTCTTTGACGACTCTGATGAGGAAGATTTTCTACTCGAGTCACTCTTCTTTGACGCGCGTCCTTTTTTTCCAGAACCTTCTAAAATGCAATAAAATCAAATAGTTAGCTTGAATATTGCTGAAACAAAGGCTTTCAATAATTTTTGATTAAGATATTTTTGTGCACTTATTCAAAAATGGGTACTGCAAGAGAGAAGCCAGTCGGGATTGTGAATATGTGCTGGCTGGTTCTGCGTTATGATAAGAGAGCAGTGAAGTTTCGAAAGAATATTAACTTTATGCGGCCCGAGAAAATACTCAATTCGAGACGGGGGAAGGGGCTCAAACACGTTAAATCATCCGATATTCCCGCAAATCTTATTATGAAAGTTTGCAGAGAAGTCATAATCTATTTTCCAATCAGGTTATTGAAATGGATGACCTACTCAGGAGCTAAGACCTACTCAATTAATGTATCAATACTCTTTCTCAAAATAATAAAAGTACGGCCATCAAGACTGTCCTGCTACTCAAGCGATTTGAACACGGTGTTTGTGACTTCACGATTATGCGGAGGGCTCGGGCAAACTCGCACATGTTCGCAAAATTTTGGGTGGTTAACTTTGATGCTCAATAACTCGAAAATGGTGTTGAATATACAAAACTGATTATGTCTCAGGTATTTATGTTGTTAATTCTGCAGTTCAGTTCACTTTACAGAATACCAACTTAAATATTAGGAAAAGTATAATCAAAGAAACCCATTCTATAGTCCATAAAAAATGCAAGCTCAACTGTTATTTAGCTGATGACCATGTTTTAGAACAACGAATTTCCTTCGTTAAGGAGGGAATTCCAGTACATTGCTTTTGCTGTACCCACATAAGAAAAGGAACTCTCTACCTTTCTTCGATGAGCTCCCCTTTTTAATATCCGTCTTTTTCATACGTTCAAAAGAATCCTCGTCTTCATCAGGTGAATTGAAGGCATCGTTAATTACAAGCGGTTCAATTCTTACAGCTGGTTCCGGTTTTTTCACTTTTGGGGTCGACTTTTCCACAGGAGTCTTGGTCTTCGTCTTGGCCTTGGTCTTGGTTTTCTGCTTCCTTGGAGTTGGTTCAGGTTGAGGGGAAACAACCTTAGGAGATTGGGATTCAATTGGGGATGAAATTGGGGACATTTCATGAAGTTTCCTAAAAATGAGATATATCAATTTCTCACTACTATGCTGTCAACTGCAACTGCATAGATAATTTCAAATTGAATTAGTGTTCATAAAGCGAAAATTCTCATACAGAATGTAGGAAACAGTATTTTCAACTAAATGGTTATTTGAAAGAATGATTATGAAACCTGATCAAATTAGAACGTAGTTTTAAAGAAGTTTTTTGCTGAAGGCCATTCCATATCCCTCGGTATATAATCTTAAAGATTTCTACAACCGGCTATTTTAGCTGTTCACCTTGGCACTTGAACAACCACCCCAGAATGTCCTTATGTGGAAAAAATGTTCACCAAGCTCTAACCTAACCCTTGAAATTAAATACCTTCTGCCTAATTACTAGACATGGATGGCTTCAAAATATAAAATCTATCAAGCTTTAAAAAAGGGTCGTGCCGTTTCTTCCCAAACTACATTACACATCGTAAGGCAATGTAGGTGTATCTAATTGAGCATTTTTGAAATGTCATCCATCAAACTATCAAACTATCAAACTTACAAATGAGAGGAAGAATCTTTTTTAGACTGATCTTGATAGTTCCCACTGGGTGCTCTTTTGAACGTAAGTTTCAAACTTGGTGTGTCGTGCTTTTTCCCCTTTCCAGAGTCTGCTCCCTTCTTTTCTGAACTCTCTTCCTGTAAAAATTCATATAATAATATGTTATGTTGGCGTCTACCCCTACCAATGCCCTTTTACACAGTTAAATGTTAAAAATGAAAACTGTAACAAGAAAGATAAAATCGAGCACTTGCCGTTTTCTTTTTCTTATCCTTCTTCTTCTTCTTTTCGTCTCCTTTCTTTTTAGATGTCTTCCCAAATTCATTCAATCTTTCTTGGGGCTGGGCCTCGGGCGTCCTGTACTCTGGTGAGCTCAGGCTGGAAGCGTGCGAAACCGCTACACTGAAACGAGGCGATGACAAAGAAGGGGACTTCATACTGGAAGGTGACTTAAATTCATCGTCAGAGGTTTGTTTCTTCAAAGGCAAACTGGCAACCATATGTTGTCTTTCGAAAAAAGAACTTTTATCATTGTCTTTATTCAGTGCCTTTGACTTTACTGACTTGGATTTTTTCTTACTCTTTTCTGCTGAAGACTTTTTCTTCCGGTCCACAGACTTTTTTTTCAAAGATGACACGCTAATGCTTTCCTCGACAGGTGTGCTGTGCAAAGGTCTGCTCTTTAAAGGCTCAGGGGTTGAATGCATTTTTTCATTGTTGCTTTGTACAGGTGAGAATAAATGTTCTGGTTTATGCTCCATCTTTTGAGCTCCCTTTGTAACTGCGTGTGCCACAACTGTAGCTCTTGGTTCTGGTGGGCTTTTTAATATATGAGGTGACGCAAAAAGTTGAGGTGATCCAGCAAATGAACTAACTTGCTGAGATTTTAGCTTTTTTCCACTAGCAGGTGTCACTTTCTCCTTCGACTTTTTCGATCTTTTTGCCTTTTTCACTTTCTTTTCCTCAAGACTTGTCACAACATCAGGGCGCGGGACCGGCTGGCTCAATGTTGTATGGTACATTGGGCTATTGGCTGTTTTTTTATTTGCAACCGGAGATTTGTCAGACACTGGGGGTGACATGATATTTGATGAAAACTTATTCAGAGGTGATGTCAGTGGTTCCCGCCCAGGATGCTCAACATGAGATAAACTAGAAAAACCATCATCAGAATCAGTCTTTGCTGCTGTTGGGAATGAGGTTCCAGTTGCTATAGAAATCTGATGCCTGTCTTTTGGCTTCATCTCATATGACTGCTGGTGACTTTTCAAATTTTGACTTTGAGATGATGGGGAAAGAATTTTTTGCTTCAGGGCAGGTTCTGGGGAAAACAATTCCTGCTTGCTTTTCTCTTTTGGTGAATTTTTGTCCCATAATGATGCTGGCCTTCTTTCTTCGATAACCCTTTTTAAGCTATTCTCACTAAATGAGTCTGTTGGGAAACCTGGTGAGGGGAAAGGCACAAAATTCTGCTTTGTTATCATTGGACTACCTGTTGAAGGCCCAAGACTTGGCATATCTGGTCGCACAAGACTTGGTAGATACAATTGATTATCCATCAATGGCTTTTTGGGCTCAACTGGAGAAAAAGGAGGACTATCTGCTGGTCTCTTCCTAGATTCATGAGAAGGTACAATATCACTGGCTTCAATACCAGGCTCTGTTGCCAACTGCAGGGGTATCTTCTCTTCATCTGTAAAAAAAGGCATGGTTGTTTTTTTGCTTGACAAAGTATGAATTTTCATGAAATGAAAAATTTCAATGAGACCAAATCATGTGTACATAATTTATACATTGAAATCCAAGTCATACTATGCCTTCATAATTAATAAAAATAATTTTTTTTGAAATTTATAAAAAAAGCTGAAATGAGTCTGGAGTTCTGAAGTTCCTGTTTGTAGGGATGTACCAGATATCCGGTAGGCCGGATAATCCGGCGCCGGATCGCTGATTTTTTGAAAATCCGGTTCCGGCCGGATTTGTTTCTGAAATCCGGCCAGTTGCCGGATTTTCCAGAACTTTAATCAAAACTAAGAAAATTTGGAAAACCAAGTCAGACTCCCTTCATACAGTGATTAAAAATGGATTTTCCAGAACTAAACAATATCGACGATAAAACAAGCGCCTTGAAAACAGATTTGAAATGAAAGTGCTCGTCATCACGAAACAGGAAGACTGGATGATATAATTCACAAATTTGGTCTAGGGTTGCCAGATCAGCTTTTTAGGCCAAATTTTTCATTTTTGGTTTTTAGATTTAGATTGCCTGGAAAAATTGTTTTTTGCTTACTACTTAAATTTGACCTTGTTGGCCTTTTAAGCAGACATCCAAAATTAATAAGTAATTACTACATTCATAGAATAATTAGTAGTTAACTACAAAGTGTTAACCAAATTTCAAATTTTATCACCTAACCTAAATATTATCTTGATATTAGCAAAGGGTTTTGGAAAAAAGTAAGATTCTTATCAAAGTTAAGAAATTATCTAACAGGCACAAGCGTAGAAATATAACCAGTGCCTGTTCGATGGATTCTTGAGAGAGTTTTTGATTTGGCCTTTTTATGAGTATTTTGGCTTAAATTGCTCACCAGTCTAGCCTTCGTTTGTAAATTCAATCTGGCAACCCTGAATAGGTCTCTTTGATCTTCTCGCTATACATTTTTTCGCAAAGTGGCTCAAAACTTTTTATTACTGAAAATTCTATAAATGGTCAGATTATCCGGTAGAATCCGGCCGGATATTCCACGAAGAAATCCGGTAAATCCGGTTCCGGCCGGATTCTGAAAATCCTGATCCGGTACACCCCTACCTGTTTGTAGAAAATCAACATATTTTGAATTTAAAAAATATGAGAAGAAAATTAGCAGGATTTTTAGTTCTTTGATAAATTATTGTAAAAAAGCTTAGCATTATAATAACGTTTTGTCAACCCATTTTTACAAAATGTGAATTTCAGCTCCAACATCTGTTTACATATGTGTAAAAACAGATGTTTAAATAAAAGCAAATAACATATAAATATTTTGCAATGATAAAATCAAGAATACCTTCTTTTATCTCAACCTCTTCACCTTTCTTTAACAAAACTTTACCAAGGGTTGGCATGTACTCTTCATACCATTCTTCCCTTGAAGCTATCTCTTCTTCTGCTGGAAATTCAATGCTATTTTTTGCCTCCAACTGAAGTTTTGGCACAGATTTGACAAAATGGATTGACTCTACCTGATGTACATAATCCTCAAGTTCAGGTAGTTGCACTCCGAGGTGATCAAATGCTAACCCAAGATCATTCAGGGTAACATCATTATGCAAAGCTAAAAACAAACAAATTATTAGTTTTAAATCTAAAATTTAGCTGACTCTTTAAAGATACATGTCAGAATTTCATTAAAAACCTTTACCAAAACATTCTCAAAAAAGCCCAAAGCAATGTGGCCAGTGAAACAAGTTAAAATGTAACCATCAAACCTTGTTGTATTTTTTGTCTTGTGTCTAGGACAGTGTTAATTAAGATGAAAAGGGTACAAAATTGGATTAGCAAGATCTATGGAGTCCTCACTTGACCGGTAATTTCTTAACTCCAAGGAACATACTTTTATATTTTTTATATGGCAGCAGGTTAAATAACAGGATCCTCACCAGCATAATGCTCTGTATGGGCTCCCTAAAATGCCACATAATATTTTGCACAACATGATTAATGTATCTTAATGTTTTTCTTTTTCCTTTAATACAAACTTTAAAGCTCATATGCCAAAGTCAACATAAAGGGGGTTCTCTCCCCTTTGGTAGCAAGCTTTGAGAGTCTTTCTTAAGAGTTACACTATTTATGAACTAATTTGTATTTGTATTGGTTTAGTATTTGTATATTACCTCCATATTAATTTTGTTTCTTTGTTTGACTTTTGTTGAGTTTGAACTATGAATCATGATCATCTCAATTATCATCAGCATTATTAGATGTAGATATAGAGATGTAGATTAGATTAAAACCTACCAGTATTAAAACTTATTTTTCTGGTCATTTAAGCATTAACTTGATTTTGCTTACAATAAAAGGCTTTAAATTGACAAATGAAACATGATCTAATTGAAACTTTAAGTTTATTTCTTAGTTCATTAATTATTTCATTTATTCACAAATAGATTAAAATAAAAATAGAAAACTGACAGAACTAAAACAAGGCTTAAATATACCAAGTCTCAAGCAAATTGAAAACTTATTATAATTTTACTCTAATATTAAGCAGTGGCACATAAATCTTAACATTCAACAAATGGTATTTAGTTTCTCCGATATTAATTAGATTTCTCATAGCTTGATCAATATCACAGATATAGCACAAACAATTTTTTTGGCACACATTAAAATTTGATGTACCTTGAAACACAATAACTTGAAAAAACACACCCAGATCTTCAATTGTGCACCAAATTTATTTGTTGCACACAACAAACCTTAAAGCCCTGACAAGTCCAACAAAGAAATGTGGCCAATTTACTAAGGGCCATTGATTATTTTTGTTTTGTGTAGTGAAATACTATTTAATGAATATTGGAAAAAATATCAGTCTGGCAAAAAGGGGTTAGGCAACTGGTGTGTTAAGAAATCTGCAACTTTGTTATTTAAAAATAACTCACAATTTTGACAGTAGTCAGCTGCAACTTTGGATAACTTCTTGATGTATCTTTCCAAAATATCTGTCAACACTCCAAGTGAAGACTTTTGCATTGAGTTCCATCCTAATGAATGACAAATCTGTGCAACAGCTACTTTTAAAACTTCGCGATCAAACGATGCGTTTTGCATTTGCGAACTGTTTTTCGCCTGACGCATTTTAGGCCCATCAGCAACACCACAACACAACTTCCAATTTGTGCTACTTAAACAATAATTCCGTTCCCTATTCTAGCTTTTATACAAAGAAGCAATCTAATAGTTAACGAGTGTGCAAAAAATATTACAGATTGCTTGAAGAACTTCCATATCTTTGAATTGTGGTGCATAACAGATTACACAACACCTCCTACTCCTCTCCTACTCTGTCTTCCATTTTGCATTTTATCGACGAGCGAGTTGAGGTGGAAAACGAGGCCAATCCTCATTCTGTACTTCTCTATGCTTTGCAAAATGGCGGAGGTGAGTGACACTGCAAAATTACAGTTTTATTTATTATATTTGATATTTACTTAGCAAGACATATTCAAGTGAAAAATACATTTCTTCAAAATTAATCTTAGCTGATCCTCTCGGCTAGATTCTCTATTTGTGGTGGCTGTTTGATTCTAAGTGGTATGCCTACAGCCTATAGGCCAAACTGTTCCTGCGCTACACACGCAAACACAAGCTTAAACACTTTTTAGCGTCAAACTAATTGTAAGATTTGTCATATTGGTTTTCGATGGTATTATCATTAATTAAGGAAAAGCTTAAAACAGCCTGATCATAATTAAAACAGCTGATAGACACGTTTAGTTAGTTCTTATGCCGTGTATCTGATATTTAGTTTCCTTTTTGAAATTCTTTTTTGTATCTGTATATGTAGTTTAATTGAAGTTGTATGCAGTGGAATTTTAAAAAAATGAAACTGAACTGAAGAAAATGAGAGACAGAGTTCTATCAAGGCCTTTTACTGTGCGCCCTATGCTTTTGACAAGTTTATTTAGCAATATTAATTTGGTTTAGATATTTCTAGCAAAAATTGGCAAAAACTTGAATTTGAGTTTCTTAATGTCAGGGTATAAAAGATGGAACACAGAAACAATATGTATTTTATAAAAGTATAAGAAAATAAGCAAAATTAGATCAAAATAGAAGAATGATGTGTAATGATAATAAGACAGATTGTGTTTACAATGCACATGACTTTGATTAATACTAGGATCATGTGCAATTAGGCCAGAATTTTTTGATTAGATAGTTAGGGTTTCTTAAAGTTAATGGTTTATTTTATTTTTGTAATATATTTTATCTTTGGCTTTTTACAAATCTAATGGTAGAGAGTTCAGAAGTTTTCTACCCTTAAATGTAAGGGTAAGGGTCTTTTGATCATAAGCTGTGGCATTTCCAGAAACTTGTTTCAAACAGAAACTTAAGAAACTCCATCAACAACTGCTTAAAGATCTGCTGTTAACTAACAAAGAAGCTTCTAAATTTTACAGGGTCTTTTCTTGTTAGTCAACATTGTGTGTACTTAAAATTAAGACGTTCTGTATCAGAATAAAAAATTGTGAAGTTGTGTGATTCTTAAGAAGAATGTTGGTATTCTCAAATTAAACTCTAATTCCATATAATTTGCATAGAAATTAAGCTGTATCCAAGAAGGTGACTGTATGGAATGTCTGATAACAAAAGGCAGTTTCACATATCCTTGTGGCTTCCATCATACAAATTTTATTAAACTTTGCTGATGGTGAAATATAGTTTCTTTCAGCTAACATTTATGTGACAAAGTTGGCATCTTCCCTTTTCATCATGCTATCTAAAATATGGTGGCCTATCTCACACCAGCAACTTGGTGTGTTCATTGTATCTACTCTTCCATAATTGCTTTTTGCCATTCCTTGTATGTTGCCTCAGTTATGAATTAAATACTAGCTGGGTAGCTGGTTGGATTTAGAAATAAATCACTTGAAATGGGATTTTTGAAAATCTTTGATAAAGCACCACTAGTTATCTATGGATATCCAGTCAACCTGATTATATTTCTGATTGGGAGTTAAAAGTACCAAAATTATGCTTCCAATGTCCCAATATATTTGCTTAGAACCTGCTGTTAGTACCAGTCTGTCAAAGAAGGACCATGTCTATGTGAATAGGATGTTAATATTTTTCATTAATTTGTTGTGTGCTGCTCCTGGAAAATACAATATTATGTTTTCCTTCTTTTAGGGCAAAAGGTTCATGTCTTTACTTCCCAGTGATGGTTATTCTGAAGAAAGTTTTGTAAAGCCAGGGGTGTTTGGCATTCATGATACACTTAGAGACGGGTAACTATTCATTTATTTAGCCAGTCCTTGTAATATGAGGGGTGTAATCACACACCAACACCTCCACACATGCCTAGATTGTCCAAGGCATGCAAACATTGCACACACAAACAAAAAATTTCTGACATTAATTTCCCATGGTCTCATGATTGTTTATCTTTTCCCTTGTTACTTGACCACAATATGATTTTTCCAATTTTCGGAAGTGATGTTTGGCTTTTAACTGAATGCTCCTTTCAACTTAGCGTCCCGTCCTTAAGCTAAGCCGTTAGCATGTTAAGTGTAATAACTGATTTCCTGTCAAAACGAAATTGTGCCCTGAAAGCAAGTAGCTGTTGGAAACATTTTTAATTTGCTCTTGTAACTTTGGAGAGTGACGAGGACTTTTGAAAGATGGCTGCTAAGGGCAACAAAATCTGTTCTGTATTGATTGAATTGAGTTTGCTCTTGCACATATTGGAGTAGCTTTTACCTTTCTTGCTCCCTTTACCAATTTTATCAGGTTTGCACTTCAAATTTTCTTACAAGTGCGATCGCACACGCAAATTTGTTTACATGTGTGATTTGCCACACACACGTAATTTTGCTAGCGAAAAAGACTGCTTGAAGATATGTTCATATTGTTTCTAAAGAAGCTTGAAGTTAAATTCACTAAACTTAGAGGCAGTTCTCTCAGTTTCCAAGGTTTTGAAGTATTCCTGTATGAGATTTCACAAAATAGTTCTCATGGCAGGCAATTTCCTTTTTTAAATTAAGTAAGATTTTGAACAAAGGAATAGTTCAGTTTTAGAAGATGTCATTCCTATCATTTTGGCTACTTTTATTTTGTTTGTCACTTGCCAAGAAGATTTTTAGATTATAAGAATGTAGCTTTTTCTCCAAATTAATTTAAACTATAATAAAATGATTGGTTTTGTTTCTGAATCTTATATTTTATTAATTCTCAAACAAACCTCCCTTGGAACTTTTCAATCCAGTATATTTTCAAATAGAGAATAAATCATAGGAGTGGGGGGGGGGTTTAATTAGGTTGGAGAATTATAAAAATAATCTGAAATTTGTCTTACAGTAACCCCTTTCAAGCATTTTCAGGTTTATTTTGTGAATTGAAACATTTTGCAAGAAACAAGGAAAAAATAGAAATGCAAAAATATTTTGTTTGTTGCCATGTAATGTCAAAATTGTCTATGTCAGTGTGGGGGCCGTTTGCTGGTAGCTTATATGATTGCAGAGTAATTTGAGGCTTTATGGTAATTGAAATAATATCTTGTACCATCTGATTGCCATTCTGTGATCAAGGTCTTGTAACATCAGACCCCTGACAATTCTGCACCCCTTGCAGCATTTGTTACTAGTGTTTGAAAGGAATCTGCTTCAGCTACCCTTTTCATAGGCCCTTGCATTTAATGTTTGAATTTATTTGTTTGATTATATTTCAGTATCACAAGTGTTCGGGGACAGTCTGTGGTAGCACATCCACTAGAATTCTCAGAAAAAAATGTAAGTTAATTGCAATTTTTACTTAAATTTTGGTATCTCAAAATTAGTATCCAATTTCTAATGAAAAAAGAGAATTCTGACTAGAAGATTTTAAGACTGGTTCAAAATTCCATAAATTCAAGTATTTTATTGGCCTTTTTCACAGTTTGAATACTAGCACATGCTATTGAAAACTCCTTGTAAATATAGGCTTATTTTCTTAACCAAAATTCAAGTTTTGCAATTAAATTTTGCTCTTTATATTTCAGTATTGCTTTATTTGTCAGAGCATGTGAACATAAGCATAAACACTTATTGTGTCCTTGTATCCAATTTCAATTCAGGTGTTTGAAAACTCCATGAATTCAGGCCTAAGGATGATCTATACTTTATGTTTTGGCTTGTATGCAAAGATTTGGAAAAAACCCTTTAAACCCTTAAACAGAAAGTGAAAAAGGAAAAAAATAAATATTTCAGTTTTTTAGATGTTAAAGAAGATAAGGCCTGCTTTTCTTTGCTCATGTGCAACACATTTTTAGTGTTATATCGCATGTTTGTTTTGTTTGCTTGTATATTAACACATTGATACTTGATATTGAGTTTTGGCACCCAGTTAGAAAATTAATAAGTCATTCAAGATGTGTCATTAGTGTGCAGAGTATCTTTAATTTCCTGATTGTCTCATCTCTTATCGCCTTTAACTCCTATATAATCTTTTGTATATGTTTAGTACTACAAGAATAAACAAAAGCAAGAATTTACAGCTCTACGTAGTACCCAAGGTCTGCATATGCCAATGAAGTTGAAGATGGAAAGAACCATTTTATCGAAGGTATGTCATATTTTTATCAGAAGGCTTTAATTTTCTTGTGTTTTAAAATTATTTGATAAATACTTCTTTTTGTATTTTTATCTACCTAACTTCTGAACGTAGGTTCAGGACACTGAGAAGCTATGCTTATTGAGCAGTGTCCTGGTCCTTCCTCTCGATGTTACAGCACCTAGTGATTTCTATGCCTTCGACTGAGATGTGAACTGGTTACCCTCCTCACTCTTAGTGCAAGTTTGGTCATGCCAAGGAATCAAACTCTGGACCCTTAGATAGTTAGTTTCTCGAAATGTTTCTCGTTTATAAACATTATTTTTACTAAAAGATCAAAGCCCTAAAAATTGTAGATAATAGGTTATCCACAAACAAATATTTTCGCGAAGAAGTAGGCCAGAGATAATTGTACTACATATGATGTACCTAAAAGGAATTCAGGTACCTCAAATTTGCCCAGTATAAAAATAACAATTTTCGAAGTTTTTACAGGCTATGTTTTTTCATAGATTCAACGACTTCCTGGATTGGAAAGTTCTAGAATCTCACTGAGGACTGTCATAGATGAGGATGAACTTGGTTTTGATGATATGCTTTGTGGTGGGTTTCTGATTTAGATGTCATTTTTCTCGTGATTATCAACTATTTTGCATGTCATGTTTCAACAAATCAACTAGCTTATTTCTTCTTAATTTCAATAACAGAATAGAATTTTTAGAACACTTTGACGTTAGTTTTATTAAAAATTATGTATTTGATAAACAAATCATGAAAAATTAGCATTTAAGGGATAGCCAATAACTCTTGAAATTTTTTGTTCCGAGTATTTTTATTTTACATGTTTTTTAATTGCAGCCAAGTGGCCATTACTTAATTTTTTATTATTTAACTTAAATTTTTTTTTGTTATGCTTAAGCTTTTCGTCTGACACTTGCATAGATCATAGAACATAGATCGAAACTCTGGGCAAGAAAATGTATTTACCCAGTTTTGGATTGAAATGGGCCTATCAGAAAACTGTTGAGGTTGCCCAATCAAAGCCGCTGCCCTACTGTCCAATTTATGTTCTGAAATTTTATACTCTGAAGATTGTCAGATAAAAAGTTTCAGTATCCAAAACGTTTCCTTTTTTAAAAATAAATTCTCTGGTGTTAATTTTACTAGTACACATATGCTTTGCATATACCCCTTGATTTTCTAGAATTTTCTCTTTTAGGCCCAAGGCATTCCTACAGTTTGGTTAGTGACCGTGAAGCTTTTGAAAGACAACACGGACTATTGCAATAGGCAAGGACCGTTCTTCTATTTATATAGACTTGCTTCCTATAAAGGAATAGGGGCACTAGTTGTTTGTGAAAGGTTCTACTCAGTCATATTTCTTATTGATTCAAAATTTGCAGTTTTTTTGTTTGCTGGTAACAGCGCTGTTATTTCTACAAGTTTCCGGGCTGACACTTCTTAGAATATGAGAATTCGAACGGTGGTCAACAAGGAAGTACTCTAAGCAATGAGATTGACTCCAAGTTATTCACAGATGCAGTTTAAACATATAACTTGTTATTGTTCGAGCCAGGTAATAATTGTTCACAAGGTGGATTTTAAAACAATGATTATAAGGGGTTCAACGGGGAGTATGATATCTCCCAGGTGTCCCAGTCTACAAAGCACGCCCGTCGTCTATTATGAGACCATTAAAAGACGAATTGCCAATAAATCCTGAAATTGTCATTTGAATAGCTTTTTTCGCGCCCACGAGTTTTTTTAGGAGAATATGTCATATTGTAGTGCCGCAACAACATTCTCTTTTGTAGCGTTTGGTTCGAAAAATCTAGTTGGCTGAATTTTTAAGGTGTTGTCCATTGGAATATTATCATAAATAGTATGAATAGTTTCAAAATTTGCCGAGGACTTTTCTAGATGTGCTTGCTACGTGATTACTATATCACCGTAGATGTGTAAACAATTAAATTTTGGATGATTAAGAGCAAGGCTCTTTGAAGTACTGAAATTGCTATTAATTTTAATTTTTTATCTTGATTTTTATGCAAGAGGCAGGAACCATGAAATAGTACGATGTTGACTACGTATATTTTTTGGCTAGGCGGCCGGTGGGTCTATTACCATACCAAGTCAGATATAAGAGTTTGCGTTTCGGTTTGTTTTTCAGTGTAAATATAACAGCAAGCGATAACATTTTATACTATGGCTTACCTTGCCAGTGTTAACTCAGAAATTTTAAAATGAATTTATTGTTTGAACACCAACCTATCACTTCATTAAGAAGGGAGAGTTTCTGGAACCATTAATCACAGTCAGTCTAAAATGTTTTTGGCCTACTTCAAAATGCAAACCTTGGACGAAGATGGATGTTACTTTGAAAGGCTGAGAACGTATTTTAAGCAATAAATGCTGAAGCAGCATTCCGTAAGGCTTGAGCTTATGCCTAACTGCGATCATTTCCTCTGAAGCCTGCAGTGCTTCAGCTGTGCTATGTTATTTGAATACCTTTTTCTTTGTGTAATCAGCAGTGGCATAAATAAGCAATAAACAGTCGTTTCCTGAGAAGCCAAAATGTGTAAATAGTTTTCAAGGAAAATAATTAATTGCTCAGTTACTAAATATTCGTATTTTTGAATTACTTCTATCATTCCAGATAATTTCTTTGAGCCACATACAACAAGTCTCAATTTTTACCCCAAATGTACTTGGGGTAAGCCCCCGTTGCAGCATGCAGAAGAATTCTTCTATCACCCTCGCCATCTCTCTCCTAGGAACATAGTGGCTTGAAAAGTGAACAAATAAAGTGAAAGGACTTTTAGGGCTAGTGGCCTCCATCATAAAGTCTATACCAATTTATTTAGAGCCGAGTTTTTCATAATAAGGCTGAGTTGCTGCCGTTAAAGAAATTATAAAATGAAAATACAAGGGACTAGGTGCCTCGTACCCCTTTGTATGACAATGTCACCTTGTTTGGGATATACTAAAAAGTTTGAGCTCATGTTTACTCCGAAGATATAGACACGAGTTTTTAGTGTGAGCAGTGGATGCCATGGTAATGACTCGCTTTGTTTTCTTGTTTTCATGTTATTTTAGCCAGACAGAAGACAAAGAAGCGTGCAAGCAACTTTTGACCTTGTTGATTTGATACCTGTAAAAGTTGCTTTTTTGACAATTATAGACTTTTAAAACGCAACTAATAGTTTATTATTTCGAAAGGAAATACATATTTCAAATTCAAAACATTGAATTTTAAAATTTATATAATTTACTTAAATAGGATAGGTATCTAACATAAAAGTATACCTGCTTATCCTAACAATACAGTCACTAGCTTATCGTAATGATAACAATATAGGATAAATACTCTTCCACCCTTTATACTCTGTGTAGGGTAGCTCTATTTCAATTTTTCGCTCTAAACTAAAACCTCATTTCATTGTCTCGTATGTCTAATTTGAAAAATTATTCAGGTTTCATCTGGTTTATGTTTTATTTATAAAGTTTGTTGTTTCTTTACTTTTATTGGGGGGGGGGCGCTCTCTCTCGATCAGTGATCAGTCCAGAGAGCAACTCCATTATTTGTCTACCCTCTATACAATCATTTAATGTTTAGTCTGTAGTTCTGTTACCCTTGATGTTGTTTTAGTACTATATCCGTATTTGATTGTATTGGAATTGCTTTGAACTTTATGTAGGGTGCATTGATAATCAATGAAAGTGAGAAATGAATTGAATGAAATGAAAATGAAAATAAATGACTAGTTTTTGTTCTAAATCTAACCAGAAATGGCTTTTATCGAAAGCCATTTAATTTATAGAACCTGATGCTTGGTAAATTTTATTTTACGGCCTGGGCATAGCGTAATGGCTCGGACCTTATTTGTTCATACGAGATAAGATCGTAAAGTACAGTCACCTGAGTGTTCATACTAAATAGTTTATTGGACATAGACAGAAAGTAGCTGTGTGTGGTTGCGCGTGTCGTCATCTTTTAAGAATCGCAAGTAAATAAACGGTAGCAGGGATGTTGACATCATTGGAAGGCAAGCAGTGAAAATTGATGCAACAGGTGGCAATTCAATGTAGCCAGATACCATGCTTTCGATAACATAGGGTAACCAAGAAACAAGGAACAACCCGACGGCAACTTGTAACTGGCGATGAGCAATATTCTCGTTGTCATCAGAAGAGTCGTCTTTGAGTTTGTCGCCCTCTTCGTTCTCACCATTCTCCTTGTTGAATACACTTCTGTACAGTAGATTGTAAATGAGAAATGAAACTGGGATGATGAAAATAAATGATGTGATAAAAGTGAAGCTGAAGCCTTGTCTCGGTGGCCATTCAACACGGCAGTATGCCTTTCTGGCCAGGAAGATGTATTTGCTCCACAGCAGCGAGAGACTGTACGACAGAGTTGTGTGTGCAATGACATATCCAAGAAGAAGCGGTCTGGATCTGTATTTCTGCTCAGCGGGAAGAGCCATGTCACGAATTCTGACATATCTTTCAGTGGTTATTGTAACCAAGCTTGAGACAGAGACAATTATGAAGATAACATTCGTCAAGCCGTAAGCTGAGCACCAGTTTTCTTCGAAGTACCATCTTCCTGTTTTACTGACATTGAAAAGCATTGGCAAGTCTTTTAACGTGACGAGAATGTCAACACATGCAAGATTCGCTACAATAATGGCAGTACTTGATGCGCGGCTGGCCCTACGCCGGTAGATTTTGTAGCATACGAACAAATTTAACACGATTGTCACAAAACAAAATGCTGTTATTCCGGCTCCAACTGCCGCACCGGCTTGCATGAACAGTTCACCTCGGTTATCCGGCATCACCACGTCAGTATACATGGCTTTAGTGGTATTTCAAAGTACTCTTTACAGGCACAGTAACGTTCTTGTTGATAATGCAATTAAACGTTTATTGTGAAATCGGATCTGTTGATCAAGTCAATTAGTTGTCATTTATCCAAAAGACAAATCAAAATAAGATACCCTTCAACCACGTAGTTGACCAATGAATGTACTTCCCGTGTCTAAGACCACTCAGAGTATCATAACTGGAGCGTTCCTGGACGTCGTTTCTTCTAGATCTTGTTCCTTCTCCTGGTCAACACCTTACGTAAAGTTCAAGGCACTTTGTGTTCTTCTTGTTCTTCGTGTTTACGATTTATCTATACATGACCACGTGCTCAACGAGACCTTCGAGGTAAACAAAGACCCGGATTTCTGATTGGCTTTCCATTATCTTAACTTGCAGTTGCCACCAGCTGAATTGACTAAACAGCGAATGACCTTGTGATCTCATTAGGTATCCGAATTGCTATAACTGGTCCTTTTCATTTTGAATAGTTTTTTTGTCGCGTTTTTCTCACGTGGGGCCATGTGTTACAGTGAAAAGAACCCGTCTCTTGCGAAAGAGAGAATTGTCCTTTTGTTTTGCCTTTCTTCTATGTTTAATAGCTCTTTTGAATTATGGTGATTAGTACTCTTCTTTTCAGTTTTTTATCATTTCCCAAGTGAATGGGCTATTGGGCAAGATCCTACAAGTTCCAATCATCGTCATAAAAGTATTTCGCAATAGATCGTTCAACATTTTATTCCCCACGTAAACAACGAAATTCCCTCGTTGATATCAATTTTGAGAATTTCTCAGAACTACTTTGCTCTTTGCCTTTGTTAGAAACACGTCCATAAAAATAGCTAATTAGCTAATTAAAACCAAATTGAATGAAAATGTCCTAGAAAGAACAGCTTAACCTCTAGTAGCCTACGAACAGCCTCAGTGTACAACCTAGGATTCTTAGATTTTTCTCATTGCCGGAAAGGCAGAAGATTTATTCATTGATTGAAAAAATGCTCAAAATTCGTTAGAAAGTTAAAATTCCCCAGCAATCGTTAAACCACGTCTCCTGTAGGAATTTCTAGCCATGGCTGAAGCTCAAACCATTTATAACAGGCACCGTGGAGGGTTGTAAAAAGTGGGGGGTCTAGAAAAAGTGGAGGGGGGGGCTATAACCGAACAACAAGGGCCTTGACTGGTGATTCATTGGTTAATTTTACTACCTTAAAGAAAAAGCTAATGTAGTTTTTGATTTAATTTATGTGGTTTCTTTGAATAAAGAGTGTATTAGAGGCAGTTATTTGGGCGAAAAAAGACAATTCAGCAATCAGAGAAGTGTATTAACTTCTCGAAATGTACTTTCTTTTTTGTATATAACAACGTTTCGAAATTAACCCTTTTGTATATAACAACGTTTCGTAAACAAATTTCCAGCCGGTTTGTTTACTACGAAACCACCTTGAATATAAAGAGCCACCTTAAGAGCCTACATTTCCTCTTCTGTTACTGCTGCAAATGGGGAGTTTTAACTTGTATCTGCCTAGATGTAGAAGTCGCGTTCAAGATCAAGCCTAAAGTATGCCCACGATGCAGCAAGGATATCTGGACAGGGCATCAATCGGCATCACGACTTTCTTTGCATCAGCGCATCCAACTGATACCTGTGGCACGAATGGTTTGCCTCTCACACCGAACTCCGTTAGGATACTGGGGAAGTTCCAAAAGTTGAAGCTTTTAAAACACGAAAACATTTGTCAATATGTCGATTTGATAAGAGGAAAGCATGGTAAGAGGGGTCGTAATATAGCATGTGTTGAGCTCTTCGCTCCAAAAGAAGGTCTAAAATATTTTGCTCTACATTACATTTTCACATCTCACAGCAAACCAGACCATCTTAATATACATGCATCACCATTTCTCATTCTCCTGGACTGCGTTATACCAAAGGTGTAGCTAGGTGATGGCATTATTCTAGTAAAAAGATCAATCTGTTATTTCGTGCCTATTAAGTATGGATTCGAAGCAACCATGTAGCTGTAGGTGTCGGCAGGGGCGAAACTGCTGGGGGGTATGGGGGGTACTGCACCAGAGGTGGAAAAAGTATCGGAACCTGGGAACGTAGTTCCCAGAAATTTTTCTGGATGGAAATATTAGCAGAAAGTTTCACAGAAAAGTTTTGAAGTGTTAAAGTAAATGTAAAAATCTGGTGACAAGAGTTAAGTCAAATCAGCATTTAATGTTATTTCAACTTGCCTGTAAGCATCTAAATATGAGCTGCCAATGGACTGTTGGGTATAGCCTCTTTCCATTGGAAAGAAATTCTTTGTGCACATTCACCATCTCACAGAAATCTCAACCACTCACCATCAAAATTTTTTTTGGCAGCTGAGCTTTTTAGACAAACCATTGTTTAGACTGAGATTAATATAGGGACTGGAATCTACTTTCACGGAAATTATTTCTTGTACTATGGTGTGAGCAGCATTGATCATAAGTTAATATGCTTGGTTAAAGTAATTTGGTGCATATTAGGACTCCATTTCAACCATATATTTCTTCACACTTGTCAAAGAATAGGCTGTGTTAAGCTTTCTCCGTAAAATGCACCATACAATTCAAATGATTTTGCCCCTGATTCTTCTGAAACTATGTTTAGAAATTATTGCCTTCTGATTTTGGTTTTTCCATCCCGATGATTGACTAAATGCATAAATTTCTGGCTAAAGTTGATTTCCATCTTATGTGCATTTATGCATCAAGTAAAGCCATATCTAATATGTTGAGTTAGGCCTACTCAGAGTCAGTTTCATATAAACGTCTTGAATTTCTTCAGCTAAATACAGTATTGTAGGCACAAACAGAAAGTTTGTTTGTTAACCCCTTGAAATCTTGCAGAAAGTTTTTAGCCAGATACTTAGGTTCCCAGAAAGAAAAAAGTTTTTTCCACCTCTGTACTGCACCCCCCAAATCTTCAAAAAAGCAGATTTTGTCGGGCATATTCATGGCTGCCAGTGTATTATCACAATATGGAAATTTTCTTTAGGTCGCACTTTTATTGCTACTTTTTGCCCTAGCTTGGTTTTTTAATTCATGGTCTTCTCCCCCCATCTTTTTTCAATCTCCGCCCAGTTGGAAGGAAAACAAAACAGAAACGAGGCAAGCACCTGCAACATATATACATTTCTGTCTTTCGTCCACCGATCAGCGCTTTCGTCTCGAGCTCAACGCGCACATGTTTATCTTCGCCTCGGGATGAAGTCTGAAGTATTGATCGACAGCAAAAGTATAGATGGAAAGTAAAGTGTGTTTGATGCAAGAAGGAAATGAGCACAGGACATGCCCCCGCCCTACTTTTTGCAAAACAAGAGAGCTTTTTTCAAAATCTTTTGTTGTGATTTCTAAATTTTCCCTTGACAAGCCCATGTAACACTGACAATTTAGAAGCATTATAAATCAAAGCACAAAGGATATACCATCTCGGAATACGTTGTTGAGAAAAATCAAGTAATACTTTTTTTCTAAATGTATGAAACTTTCATCATACATTCATAAAAGGTTTACCCTTAAAAGGTTTATTCATAAAAATTCAAATAATCGTAACAAGTGACAGAAGTTTTTAATCAGTTCAAGTGGGAAATAATAGAAAATTTTTCGAGGAATTGTAATTGGGATATGAACTGCAAAAAACTTTCGAGTTTCTTCAATTTCTGTCTTTCTGTCAAACATTGTAGCCTGCGTAGCTGTTCCTAAACTCCGAAATTTTCAAGCTGTGTTTTCTTGTTAATTGATAAAATTGAGGCCCTACTTCAGTCTCTTTTTTGAATTGCTCTCCTAACAGCTAGGTGATTTAAAAAGTGAAGACTATATTTCTTTTATAGAAAAGACAGGCCTTACAAATGCTTGCTTTTCAGAAACAAATGTTTATAGCCAACACCAGAAAAACTAGAAGCATATCTCTTGACTTTAAGCCTGTGTCTAAAGACCCTCTCTCGGGGTCCCCCCTTGATGTGCCCTAAAAATGAAGTTCATACATGACACGCCCTTTCATCAAGCATGACACGCCCTTTCATTGGGCACCTAAGCTTCATACCCCCCTAATGAAAATAGTGAAGTTTCCATTCTTGCCAAGATTGATACTTTTTTGCAGCCCCTATAGGAGTTAGTGGATGCGCATTGTTTCAGATCTAGTGCTCTCCCTATAAATGTATGTGCACTCCCAATAACTCATCAAAAACAGATGTTACTGAATTCAGTTATAGTTATAAACAGTTATAGACAGATGTTACAGAGTGGTTTGAAGCATCAAGTTCTGTATTAAAAAAATCTGTATAAAACTTCTAAAGAATCTGTTTGAAAGAACTGTAACAAGATTACTTGCTTTGTTTCAGAAAGAGTTGTTGTTGCTGCAGAACATTATGAAGACTGTCTAGCAGATCACTTTAAACAAGGAGACATCTCAAGGTATTTTAGCTTACCAAATATTGAAAAAGCTTAAAAAGGGAGAAAGCCAGCATATAACTAGTAGGCCAGACTCAACTTTTGCTGTCCATCTAATAGCTACAGGGTCAACCAATGTCATATTGACCAAATTTTTAACAAGTTCCTTGGTCAATTTCCCTCCCCTCCTATTGCTAAGAAATATTCGCCTGCTATTTTTATTTTTTCACGAGGCACAAACTGTAAAAGCATTTTGAAAGTTTTGTCCATTTTAAAAAGTCTAATGCTATAACATTGCAACTTCATTAACCTGTGTAAAATTTTTTTCACTTATGGATCTTGAAGTTTTGTACTGACTTTTTTGTCACTTATAGTAGCAGTTTGACATTATCATGGATGTAGCTTTTACTAGATTTATGGCAGTTCAAAATTTCTTACAGTTCAAAATGAAGTTTTAGGCTCAGTTTATCACCTATTTTGCTATGATGGAGATCTTTTGTCATTTAGATTTATTTTTATGATAGAGATAGTGCTATGTTTTGAATTCCTACATTGGTAACCAGTGCTTTAAAGTATGGCAAAAAGATTTAATTTTTTCTGTTTGTTGCTTTCAAATATATGAACACCTGAAAGCCACATCTTTTAGGAGTGCGGGACCCATATTGCAACTTTGCTTTAGAGTTACTCTGCTTATTAGTCACATTACCATTATAGCCACATAAAACTTTAGACCCAGGTACCAAAACTGTTCAATTAAGCTTCTTTTACAGTTATACTCTGCTTATTATCACAACTTTTCAAGAAATCTTTTTGTAAAGAAGACTGCCTCCCTCATTTTTCTAGCATTGATTTGATTCCAATAAAATCTTTCTGCGAAAAGTCATAAGTTTGCAAAGCTTCAAACTTGTTGAATGCCATTTTGATTTTGATGTTGTAATACTTCTGTTCTTGTAGCTTATTTTCAATGTCTGTTTTTTGAAAAATGTGCAAGTCAACAGAAGAGAATCACTTCTATTAATATAAAATTTTCTAAAATTATCTTATGTTTCGGCTTCTGTTTTAGCTTAGTTGCTTTGCAAAAAGTAGCATTTAGTATCTTGCAAGCTTTGAAGTATCTTCATTCACACAATATAACTGTTCGAAACTTGTCACCTGAAAATATTCAAGTCACTCCAGAGGTAAATTTTAATATTAGTAATGTTAATAATTAAGCAAACATGGAATTAATCCAGTTCATTGTATTTTATATTTATATAAGGTTACTGGAAGCTGAATTGAAAACCCATTGAAAGCCATGAAAACAATTGATCAAACTGTTTGATATTCCATTTTCAAATAAAATTATAATTTGACTTTAGCATCAAGTATTGAAAAATCTCCCCTCTGTAGCATCAAGTATCGATACGCCCCCCTCTGGAATAAACCCCATATTATACTGTCAGATTTGAAAAAAAACAGCCAATCACTTACAATTTCTTTACTGTTTTTTGCACGAGAGAAACAATATATTGTTGTTTCATACAGTGTATTTCAAAAGATTTCTTATACACAGTTCACTTTTTGCCCTCAAGTCTTGCTGGTCTTTTTTTTACCGCTGGATGCTAAAAGGCCCTCCTCCTTAAAAAGATGAAATTTTGAATAGGTCTCCCCTGAAAATGCTGCCCCATTTTGAATATGCCCCTCTTATTAGCACAGAGTTTTGAATAAGTCCTTTGGGAATGATTATATAATAAAGTTTCTTGAATTTTATGTTTGTCCTAAATAAATTATACTTAGTATGTTTTAGTTTTCTAATGATCTAATTCAAATTGGTTTTTCAGAACAACTTCAAAATTTCAAAGTATGGAATGTACTATGTGACTTCTTTTGGGTCTAGTGTCGCATTTCCTATTGGGTAATTATGCTTTTTTATTTTTTCTATGTTTTTTTCAAAATTGCAATTAAAGTTGCAATGAGCAGATTGTTATACATGCAACAAAACTCTAGTTTCCTTATGACACCACTCACAGAGTATAGAACATTAAATAATATCCAAAACAATAAAAAAATTGCATTCAGGTGCTAGTCAGGAGTAGTGAGAGAAGGATAATGACATTTTTCATTTGTTCTGCCTTTACCAATCAGGGACTGCCCAATGATTTTGACATTGTCTTCATTATTTGTTTTGGCACACTCTAGATTCTCAAGAAAAAATTTAACTCTAGCTGAACCTCCTTTCATTTGGTTAGGATGCTGTTTAACATGTTCATTAATCATGTTCATTAGTAACGATCAATGTAAGTAAATTGTACCAGGAAAATTTATTTAAAATAATTAAGGACATATATACTAAGTAGCCTGTCATATAAGGTTCACATCAGTATCACATTTAATGTCATTACATCTGCAGACAGATTCATAAACAAACAAAGTTTTTTATGAATATGCTTGGAATAACTTGATCTTATTTTTTGGATGTAATTTTTTCCTGTGCTAACAAATCTTTGATATCTGCTTTGTCTGGGGGGGACAGTGTCTGGGGGGAGGAGGGGTGGATAGGCAAGTGTTAAAGCCACTTTAATATCTGAATCCCTCTTCAAGTAGTTGACCTTATGTTTTTCAGGTATTAAAGGGGTTCAACCCAAAATTTTTGCTATTTGTTGATAATATCTCCTTTAGACATTAATTTTCACTTTGCAATTTATTTCTAATCAATCCAGTCATCTTGCAAATGTTGTCCTGAGCTCTTAAGAATTCAAATTTTCTGTATTTTAGAAACCCATGTTACTTGGCACCAGAGGTAGTTGCCTGTGGAACAAGATTCAGCCCAGCCCATGGACCTTCCTCTTACTCTGTATGTAACTGAATCAGTCAATAAATCATTTTCAAGGCTATTCTCAGTTGCTTCTTCATAATAAATAGCATGTCACATTGTAGGTCGAGCAAAGTGGTAAGGCTGTAACTTTTTTTCAAATTGTAACACCTTCTTTTTAATCCAGGGAAGCATATTTGCTGTCACACAGATGTGTTAGCCTTTTCCTCAGGGTCTATTTACACTTGTTTTTTTAGTTATCTAATTATTCAGTGATTGAGAGGAACTTAAGGAGTTTATTGAAATTAATAATTGAAGAAAGCATGGAGCCACGTTTTTTCAATATTTTTTTCTGTTTGCTTTGTTTTGTGTCGTATTCAAGAACTATTTTCTTGTTATCCACGTTAATGTCCGCACGAGCTCTAAGCTGCAATTTATTAGCCCTCCCCCAACAAACATAGCTTAAATATAATCTGTATATTTTTATTCTAGTCTGACATTTGGTCTCTAGGGATGGTTTTGTTGGATTTATACTCTGTAAGTTAAATTCTTTTCCTTCTTAGTCATGCTCTTTTTTCTTGTAATTTTCAAGTTTGATAGATAAAAGGACTGCATTAGGTACAAAGATTTGTCCGAAAATTTATTTGTACGAAATTTAGAGTTGTCTGGAGGTTTGTCACGGCGATAATATTTGTATAAGCGGTGCACTCGCAATGTAATTTGACTGAAGCATTAGAGATCAAATGAACGTTGAATCTGTTTTCCCAATGCAAAACAAAACGAAAGGTTACAAATTTTAATAATTACTAGGCCTGCAAATTTTTTGAAAACAGTTGCACTTCCAAGTTAATAGAAATATCAGTCCAAACAAATAACATTGATTGTTCTTATCGTCTGTTGAAATATCACCATCACTTTCTTCTTTCTTCTTTCTTCTTCACCGTCACTAAATGGGTTTAAAATGACCGGAATTGATGACGCATTAGAATTTGAACTTGAGGCAGAAGATCCTTTTGAAGATTTAAACATGTAATCAAATATGAGCACATATACCTTTAAAAAAGTGAAAAAAATATGAGCGTTAACAAGAAAATGGTAGCGAAAAATTTTGAAACTAATGATAGCGACTTAAAGTTTTACCATCGGTTTCATATTCTGAATACTTTAAAAAATATGCCGATTTTCGAGTAGTTAACTCTTGAGATTAAATCATTATGAAATAAACGAGTATTCCTGTTCAAATGGTTTTGAAACAATTTATTCATTGATTCGTTGTTCATTACTGTATCAAAAGTTATATTTATCAATTCAATTATTTGTCAACCTGAATATTTTGGAATGTTAGGCCCATAGAAGGAATAACTATAATTGTAGGTCAACGAGTCTTTTTTGTTGTTGTTTAGTTGGGTGGCCTTTGGTGCGCTGATAAAATGAGAGTTGGGAATGTTTTGCACAAGTTGTTGAAGATTCATTTCAACTGTGGTAAGTTTCTCTTCCTTTTATGGTTAGTATGTTTGTTTTGTAGAATGCAGGTTCAGAGCTATTTAGCAACTCGCCATTGCATGATTTACCAGCTATAAAAATAACCCCACTATTGTTCAACCCTATTTCGCTGCATCAGAAATAACCCTAAATAAACTAAAAGTATAAAAAATTTTTGAATTGAGCCCTTTTTCAATTAACTAGAAAGTAGAAATATTTATCTGTAATTTTCAAGCAGCTTTTTGAAAATTTTTTTACTGACGCTATTTCTTCTGTTCCTAGATTCAAAAGATGCTCTAGAACATATTTTGGAATACAGCGGGGCACATTCAAGACTTAAGGCATGTAACTTGTCTTGTAAAAGATAGTGCATTCAACTATTTTTTAAGTACGTGCCTATTAGAGAGAACACAACAGAAGATTACTATTTCCTTTTACTATTATGGAAGCTGTCCCTGAAGTCTGGATTGTCACCCCAGTTAGAATGTCAATTTATTTACTGATGTTTTTAGTCGTTGATCTATGACAAGATGAGACTCGTTCTGCGCATTATTGGTTTAGCTTGGACGCATTTCTGACATTTCTGAAGACAAGCACGAAACTGCCCCAAACTAAAGTTGGATTTGTAGGCTCGAATCAACGTCTGGAATCTTAGATTGACATTAAGTATTATTATGGGTGGTTTTTTATTGGCTTTTCGTTTTAATTTTTAGGGCATGGATCGCTCCTTGGTGTCATTTCTTCGTATGTGTTTAATACTAGATCCAGCATTAAGGTATGCACCCCAATGCTATGCAACAGAATGTCTTGACTTCCATTGGTTTGCTGAATATGCAACGCCGTAAATTCTGATAGATTTTGCTGATTACTTCTCATTCGTCAATTAATTTTTTCGTTATTTTGCAAGCAACTAGTGTCCTTAATTCTCGAAAAATCCCACTGGTGGCGTTTCTATTCGATACGTTTGTGAAGCATTTTCCTTTTTTCTTGTATTCCGAAACATTAGACAAATCAATATTGACAAACACAAACATTATGAATATCGTCATTGACTCTGCAACGTTTTAACTAATCTGCAAGGAATATGAACTCGCAACATTAGGGAAGTATTTCTTGAAGTCTGTGCAAGTAAGAAGTGGCCTTGGTTAAGAAACCTAAACCTGTCGGGATTATTGCAAATAAAGAAGAAGATGATGGAAAGGCAAAAAGACCAATAAATTAGATTTAAATTCCCTACGATGTTTTATTGCCCATCGGCATAACAAAGAATTGGAGCATTGCATTGCATGTTTAATGTTTTCATGTGTACCGAAGTGTATGGAAACCTTTTTAAGTGAATTTTGAAAGTCTTAATGACAACCAGAGGACCCAACAGACAAATATGCTGTTTGAGTGTGAAAGATGCAAAATTTCTCGGAATTTTGACCAAAGACATTAATTGGTGTTTTGCAAAAATAGTTTCCTTCTTTCTTTGGGGTGATCCCTGTGCTAAGTGGGGTGTTAGAATGACAGGAAACTCGATGAACCTTTTGCTGGAGAGGGAATGCAAGTATGTCTAATGCAGGTATAATGGCATATATTAGAAGACTTTTCTGGTGGAAGAAACAAAGACGGCAGTGAAATTTGAAGATGAGCTACCGACATGCCCGGCCAGTATTTAAGTAGATGAAGCAGTTGAGATCCAGGAGCAACTCACTCATTGTGTGAACAGGGTACCACAATGAGAGAAATGCTACAGAAGGTTAATTTACATCGAAAAGGGTAATTCACATTCACAGTGAGAATTGTCTAAACGAAAAAAGCGAAGTTCTAAAAAGGCCAAATCAATCGATAGATATTGTATTTCTTTATTTGCAACTGCTGTGCAAGTTGCGACTGTGCGGGTAAAGGCTATAAAACGAAGATGTAGCGATAACTGAGGCAAAATCTAGTTTGAAAAAACTCATGAAAATTGGACATTTCTACGATCCCCCAGTGAGTTCGAGTAACACAAAAATGACCATACGTAACATGGACGGGAAAAGTGTACTGTACCAAATAAGCATAGCATAGCTGCAGCTTATTCGAGGGTGGGGACAACTGGTGGATTAACGGTACTAGATGATAGAGAAAAGTCTCTCCAACTCCTGGTGATAGTTTAGAAACGACTTCTTGGCCTTCATTCGTAACTAACGTTCACTCATAATGTGAAATCTTTGTTGTTTAGCATGATAACCAGATCCACACATAATTTTCATGGATGTAGTGGTATTCTGTATTGTAGTCATATATCATAGATCTTGTATATTCATCATCAGTAAATGGCAACTCATGCCTCCTTATTTGCCCTTTGACAAAGAGATAGCTGGAGAGGGGGTTGATAGGTTACTGCGTTTCCAATCGGGTTGGATGTTTTCATAGTCTAAAATTGATGATGTATTGTAATTTGTTTCTCACAGACCAACAGCAAAAGAATTGCTGAAGCATGAATTCCTTCATTCTTTGATGAGCCAAGAAAGACACACACCCCATGCTGTATGTCGATATGTCCACAGTTTGTTGCATACACATAATGATGTCAAATAACAGCAAAATTTATCGAAGACTGTATTAACCACAGTTAAAAGCTATTTATGACAAAATTCAATTGACAGAATGATCTAATATTGCCGATTGTGTTTAACACACTCAATCTGTTACACCAATAAAAACCTGTTTTGATAACCAATGATTAATATGACAAGGCAGTTTTATACATGGTTTCTGTGTTCATTAATTTGTAGAAAGACGTCACCATGAATGGGTCTGAAGTCTTTCCAGCTGTTTTTCGATCGCCCTTCCTCGATTCGCCTGATTATAACAAGCTGCTATCGGACTTAAGTAAGCGAATGTTCCATGATTTAGCTCTTTTCGTTTCGTTCCGAAGGAATTTTCTTCTTCTGTCGTAATTCGATGATCAAAATCGACCAATCCTTTTGATCTTTTACAAAAAATTTCATTCTAGGTGAAGTTCAGGATGAAGACCATTTGTCCAGAAGGTGAAAACGTTTTCACCCTTACTTTCTTCAAATAAATCATTTTAAATTTTGAAATGTCTTTGAATAGCTTTTTTGAAATTCCCTACCACGAACAGATTATCCTACTTTTCAATTCAATCGATGAGATTGTTGAGACTCTAGGGAATCTAATCAAATTTCATTTCGAGTTAATTTGACCATTACTAATGGCCAAGGTGCATTTACCAAGCAAAATCTTATTTTCAAAGCTAGGATATGTTCAAGAAACCCCACTCCTTGACTTTTCCCATGGTCTACTTGTGGTATATCTCAAATATCAAATTTTATGTTAAGCATGCCTCTTCCGATTTCTTGTATGTTGTCTTGCATGCATTTTAACTGTGATTTCTTGCACACCAGAAACAGAAATGCATTGGCTCTTGAGCATATTACAGCTTTGTGATCTTAGCATTGATTACCTTAATAGACCTATCGACGAGGTTTACTACTTGTGGACATTGGCTGGCGGTGACGTCATTGCAGAACTTAAAAAGAACGATTTGCTGAAGTCGAAGCCTCCTGTTTTATCACTACCCACGTGAGCAAAAGAAAGATATATTCTTATAGCAAATTATGTAGATAATGATACGCTGCAAACCCTTTATAAAGACTAAATTTTCAATAAGCTACCCTCTGAGAAAGTCCCATGTCAACTCAATTTTTGCATGTATTTCGCCTTTAATTTTGATATCAACGATTTTGATATCAACTGCTAATAGCAGCCAAGTAAATAAGGTTTTCATTAAATGTTTAAATAAACTGCCGTATTTTCTATCCTGTTGGAATAAAATATTTAAGACCGGCACTTGAATTATACGCCGTCTGAACCAGGTTTTAGGACCTTTAATTTTTCCAATTGTATTTCATCAAAGCTTCAGGAACCTAACTCTCAGCTGCTTTTTGTTGTTTCTTCACAACTAAAAGCAGCTGCAAATGGTGCACTTCCTTATTACCAATGGGCTCCACGCTGCTCGGCCCCGGGTTCCGCACATGGATACCTTGCCCTGCCTAATAATTAAGTCCAAACTGTTTTCTAAGATTAAAACAAAAGCAACATTTTCAAACGCATTGTTACTTTACAGAGGCTAGAAATGCTCATTCTGCATATTTAATGAAGTCAATGTATTGAAACATTTCGGCCCTAGTAATTAAAATTAAGTCATCTGAAACATGCCATGAATGCATGAAGAAGATAAGAAGATAAGGAATAGTCAATATATTTGATAATTTTTTATTAGTTGCCAAGGTACAAATTTTCTCCTTAAAGAATGCCATTAAGGTATATCAATTCAATCAATCAAAAAAAAACTGGAGGTGCCCTCAGTCTTGATATTGTAGGTTGAACCAATATTATTAATTTTTAATTTTTAATTGTAAGCAAGCAAAGAAGAACTATTCTTTTCTTTCTTGCCAATTTACTGCAAAATCAAAAGTAAAAGCTACGCATGCCTGGATATTTTCACCAGCGATTTTGCCGTGAACTCGCTGCAAAATTCGCCTCGTGGAAATCAACCTTAAAGGACATTTTGAAAACTTCTTTCATCTTAGCTCTTGTCCTTGCTAGCTAAAACGTATTCTTTGAAATATGTGATAGGTAAGAGATTCTAGTCGGAACCCTTCACCTTTGCAGCGCGACTTTGAATAATGGAGAAGCATTTGGACCGGAAAAGGAAAGAGAAAGGATGCTTGATGAAACTACAGTTGCTATTTCTTTGGACAAATTACGAATGGTTGGTTAACCAAGAATGATTCAAATCATTTTGTTGCACCACTAGTTAAGTTGCATGAAGTAGAAAATAGGCCTTCTTTCTATGATTTGGCGTCTTAAACAGAATCTCGACTTTTACAAAAGAAATGTTTTAAGATATGTCAATCAGCTCAAAGAAGGGCGCTCAAATTAGATTGGTTTGATTTTACAACTACTTCTCTCAGTTTAATACAAAGTTGGAAATAACTTAAAGCTGAAGCATTAAGTCTGGAAAAATACTTCGACACAAATTCAAATGGTTTTAAGCTCCAGTTTTAACGAGGCGTACCACAAACTTCCGAAATAAACACAACCTTAGTGTTTGGTAGATTGCTTGGGAATGATGTAAAATTATAACTTCTGAACATTCTTCTGTATTTTTGAGTAAACAAAAATGTCCAATTGTTCATTTATCCATTCTGCAAGAATTTCCATCGTATGTGATTGAGCTCGATTGCCTTGATCAAACTTAAGTTTTTTTGTCTTTTTCAGAAATTGCAAAATATTGATGAATCAGCCTTTTACCCCTTAATTGTCGAAGATGAGTAAGTATTGAAAAGCACACTTTCTCTCTAAAGGACATCCTCCTGCAAAAATGGTTGATTATGCTTAGCAAAATCAGCCGTTTTGTCAATCTTCTTAAAAATATCCAGTCATCTTGAGACAAAAATGTTGTTTCTACTTAATTTTCTTGGTACGCAATTTGATAAATTATTTGAAAACTAAAATAAATGCTCATAAAATGTTACTTGGTAATTTAGTTTCTCTCCTCTTTTTGCTCTTTATTATGTTAATCGTTCTCCTTTTGTCTGTTTTCCATGGAATATTTTCTTATAATACCTTAAATTTTCCTGCACAAATACAAGCTATATGAATGTGCCTAAAGGCCGGTTTCCACTTGATTCGCTCTGGTCGGATGATTTGGCGAAATCGAATCAACGAATCAGCGAATCGGCGTTGAATTACTCTGCGAATGTTCGCGCTTTCGCAGCTAATGAAGAAGTTCAATATGCGCATGCTACAATGTGCATTCGTTCAGTCGCGCGACCAAAGAGAATCAAGTGGAAACCGGCCTTAAAACTCTACTTGTCATTTCTGCCAAATATAATGAGAAAAATTGAGCGCCAAACTTTCCCTGAAATTTGAGCCTTGCAATTATTTGTAAGTAACTTCTAAATTTCACCTATTTTTACACTCAAAATTTTATCAAATATATTTTGAACACTTTAAAACTTTTCTCGGGTATCAAGCGAGACCTGATGAATCTGAGAATGCGTTTGCCCTGGAACATATTCTACTGAATCCGGATCGTCAATTTTCAATAATGAGCAAATTTAACTGATATCATCCTTCGTATCTCGATAATTCCTTTCCTATTTGATTTGTACGTGTAACCTGACGATGTCAGTGGATCCTTCTGTGTATGCATATTACAGCTTATGATGTGTATAATCTTCCAGATCCCGCGAAAACGAAAGGCCTGTATGGACTAGTTTGCACACAGCTTTTTGAACCCAGTTCTAGTTAAATCGGGCCCTAGCATCGCAATATACTGAGTGGTTACAAATTAAGTTTAATTTAAATTTACTGCTTGTTCTCATTCTTTATGTCAATTCTTTTGACAGCCTCAATCCACCAGATTTAACAGAGACTGCCAAACTCCCTTTGGTAATTCGCGAGAAAGATGTGGTGTATCAGGTAGCGGAAACAGCTCTTATTTGAACATCGAGTCATGATTAGACCAATGGGTACACCCAAATAGAACAGAGGCAAATGGCAGCTACCTCGTATTGATTTTGAAAACGCTTTCTTTTAATTGAAGTACAACGTTTGTCAAGTCGATGAAATCGCTGCCTTTCAATGATATCACATTTTTCTTTCATCTCTCTTACCCACCTATTTTATCTTTCACGAGAGCTTTTTTCTTTTTGCCCAACACTGATTACTAGGCGGCGGATATTGTTGTCGATTTTTTATCTTGTTTATCTTGTTCTATACAGTCAGGCCTTTGAAAAAAAATTTTAAACCAATCGAAAGTAAAACATTTTCAGATATTAGTTGCTAGATATTTTCCTTTTCAGTTTCGTAAGTATTGTTAGCATATTTTTTCTAGGTTAATGATCTTTGATCTAAAATCATAAGACAATTAAAGCTAAAAGATAAATATTTTATCGCATAATGACAAACAGAGGGAATGGAATAAGAGAAACAGCTTGGGTTTTTTCAAGTTTTGTAACTAAATTCATGAAAGCTTTTTGAGAAATGAAAGCTAGTAACAACTGAAATTAATTTTCTTCACTTGTAGTTTCATCGAGTTATACTTTTTGATAGACTCTTAGAGGTAAGACAGTACCAGTGATATTTCATAATATCCAATATTTTGTATTGCATGTACTGAAAATGGCTGAATATTCATGATGTGGGTTGATTATCCGCTTTCAATGTATTGGCAATTGTAAATCATTTATGAACTGCAATAGCTCATCGGTCTTTTGCTTGTGCTCGCTCAGGTTGATCGACCGAAAAGTAGAGCGTTAGTGGTGCGGCAAGTTTTAAAGATGAATTCTTTAATCAATCATGGATAATTTCTTAGCGTTTTTTCCGAAAAAGGATTTTTCAGAAGTTTAGACATATGTATTTTGAGACAAAATTCCCTGCAATCGAGAAACAAAAAGCTTTTGCATGAATTGTTCTTACAGGGCTACCCATTTACTAGAGATAGAATCATAAAAGAAGCGAGAATTGACATTCCGCCGCCATTTCGAGCTAAAGTCTGGGCAGCTCTCCTGAACATACAGGTAAACATTTTATCAATTCTTAGACTCTTCGTCAATCCAGGAAATGCCAGTTGTAGCATGAACCCATGCTATTTATCATTTTGACTGAAGTACTTTTGACAAACACTTTTGAGTTCCTTCGAAAAATGATACTGGAAGCAGTATCTGTTGATTTTTAAAAGCGTCCTAAATTGAGCATCCTTTCTTGCAGGGAGATGTGCAGGAGGTTTATGATAGAATTGATAAAGAAAGCGTGACCTCTACAGATCGACAGGTGGGTTGGCGGTGTGCTTAATTAGAAGTTTTAAACCGAATTTCTAGATCCATTTGCTTATATTGAAACTCATATGATGCAATATGCCTGGCAGGATCCTACCAAAACAGAAAAATTCCGCCCTATAGCCTCCGCGCAGACTTTTCTTGTGCAGCGGAAGTTGAAAATGAAATGAGATGAAAAAGCTGGTTCAAAATGTTTACTCATTGAAAATCATTTTCTATAAAAATTTTAGTCAGTGTTTACCATCTTTGTTGTTAGTTCCTAATTTCAAATTTTTAGGCTAGATTCGAAATGTTTGATTATTTTGTATAACCACCTGTAGCGACCTCAGTATATTTTTTCAGTTTATAATCTACAGGATCAAGGTGTTTTTTCGAGAGGGATGCTTAAAAGTAGCTAGATGCTTGTTAGAAACATTAGTATGTGCACGTTACTCCAAGCAAAGGTGAAAAGTAGGACTGCCAGTTATTACCAAATCTTTAGTTGCTTTCTCCAAAGAAACTAGTTCTAAAACGCAGGATTTAAGAAATGAAAAAGCTTTTCAACTTTGGCTTGAAATATCAGGGAAAGTTCTTATTTGGTTTCATTGTTGCATCGTAGATTTTGAAATGACTATGAAATTCTAGCACCGTTTGCTTTCCATTTGATATATTTTGTATAGAAATATTGAAAATTAGGTCTCTCAGAAATTTTCAAAACGAAGGGTGCAGTTGGGTTGTTTTAGCTACAACTTGATGATGGTCTTCCTCGTGGTTCTTATTTCGATATAAATGATGCTCTTGTGTTGTTATGCTGTTAGGGGATTCCTTTTTTACTCATTTGTATCGTTATCCTGTATATGTCATGCAGTTATCAAAGATGCCATTGGTGGTATGTTTGGGAGTCTTTTTCTTATCAATGCACATACTACATTGAGACTCAACGATTTATGTAAGTTATGAAGTTATTGATTTTTTCAGATCGAAGTTGACATCCCAAGATGTCATCAATATGACCAGTTACTCTCATCACCAGCTGCCCATGCCAAATTCAAGAGAGTGCTCAAAGCCTGGGTCGTTTCCCATCCAAAATTGACATACTGGCAAGGTATTGCGCTATCGTAGTTTTGATTAAGATTTTAGCTTACAATCTTCAGACATAATATGTTCGGATTCTGCAAGGGAAATCTTGCGTCTACCAACAACTAACTTCGCTTTCAAATCTTGAAGGATGTGACTTTCAACAAGCTGCTAGCAACTAACAACTAGCCAATAGCTCCTAATTTATGGGCTGTTTAACCCGTTGATGTTGATGTGTACACTTCCTGGAAGACCATTTCTAATACAAATTTGCTGCGTTTGCCAAAGAACTAAAAGTGCTGTATCGGCCCAGTCAGAAACTGCACTCAACAATTGGCTTATTCGATAACAGGATTAGGGAAAATGTTGTTAAATGTTTAGAAAAAGTCAAAGTTTAAATATAATACCCCCCTGACATCAATTTACACATCGAAGGTAAAAATCTATTTTGATGAGGCAACCTTATCCAGCCCATCTTAAGTAACAATTTTATAAGGTATTATTGGAAGAGGGAGCAGCACTGCTTCATCACAAGGATTTGTGGTGCCAAATACTTTGTAACTGCTTGCCTAAGCTCTGATTATTTGCTTCTCTATAAAAAGATCAGCTCGTTAAAAAGTTTCACGTTCTAATTTATTTAAAACTGAAAAGCAATTTTCTCTGTTTTAGGACTGGACTCACTTTCAGCCCCATTTATATCTTTGAATTTTAAAAACGAGGGTAAGTTACTTAAACTCTTCTCTCGTAAAACTTGTGATCGTTCACGTGGCAATGATCTAACTCTTTAGAGTTATAGCAGCTTTAGGATATTAAATTTTCAATAAAAACTTATCAATTTTATTTTTCCTCAATTATTGTTTCTTTACAATTCCGTTTCTATAGCACTGGCATTCGCATCCATGTCTGCATTCATCCCAAAGTACCTCTATAATTTCTTTTTGAAAGATAATTCACCAGTTATACAAGGTGAGTGCCATTCTTTTCCAGTTAGATGAGTGCCAACTTTAGCTTCATTTTATTTCATTGTCGCTTAAAACTTAGCGGTAACTTTTTAATAGCAGTAATTATCTGTTGTAGGTTAGCAAGAAGATTAAATACATGCAATGTACTGTTTCAATATAAGTACTCTATAAATATTTTTGAATAAATGTTCAAAGAGAAAACCAAAACGAATACAGAAATCCCATTTACAAACCGCGGTACAACTGATAATTTTCCAACCCTTTCTGCCCCTAGTCTTTGCCTTTGCCAGCGCTGTCGGGTCCATATGCAGCTCCCTTAACACGTATGTTTACAGTCGTATCTGAATCTCGTGACTACTGATAATTCCTTTCATTAGGCACTTGGGCTTTTAAATAAAATGTTTTTTATTGTCTACTTTTGGTGATCATCAACTATTGGTAAGGGTTTTCCAACGACAGATTGCATGCAAAAAACGTCGGTTGGAAAAACAGATTATTTTATTTAAACTCATTAATGCTTGGTTTCTTTATAATGCTGACAAGGCAACTGGTAGACAGGACCATCAAAGTTCCTGAGAGACATATATATTTAGTTTTTTTAGTACCCTCAAATATAACTAGTTATATTTCCTATTTATCTATCCACGTCATATCTGCCTCGTTACGATGCATGTCTCTTTAAGAGTACCTTGCCGTATTTTCACAAATGGTTGCCTATCACGAACCGGAGCTGTTTACACATTTAAGCGACATTGGCTTCGCACCAGAGGTAACCCACTTTCCTTTTCATGATATGATGGATGACTTTAGTTGCCGTATTTTTCAATTGTTTTTTTTCTTGATTTAGGAATGTATTTTTATACGTAACAACATTCCTAGATGAACCATCGCAGTTATGTAATATCTATTAAAAACTATTTCGGCCATTTTTTTTAATCTGATGAATAAAATTGAAATACAAATATGTGAATATGTTTAAGACCACGTATCACGTTTTCTCAATTTCTTAGGTTAACATCAAAGTAAGATTTTTTGTTTTCGAATGCACATTAAAATTAACCGGAATTTTAAAGCAAAAAGTGTGTATCGTAGATATTTTTAAAGTATTTATATACTGATGATATAAACAATATTATGAAAACTCAAATTTATATAATTTTTTTATAAATAATTGCATTTCTTGCCAATTTTTTCTCATGGTCTTAAATTTTTGCACATGACTGTATTATGGTGTCTCCGTTGTTTTTATGTCCTTATAATAAGTTGTTTCTAATGGAACAATCTGACACTGAAGAGAAATTTAGGAGATGCACCCGAAAATCTGTTTTAGCCTTAGGCTGTTTTAAGTGGGAGTGTTTCCTTTAGAACAAGTGATTTTCTGTACGAATAAGATTTCCTCATCACGTGTTCTTTTATTCCTATTTGTTCCATTGAAGGCACTTATTCTGAAAATTATTTAATTATGTTTTCAATATTTAACGTGAATGTCTTCTGAAATTCGAAATTATCACTTTCTTCTGTTTATCTAGCTGTACGCAATTCCTTGGTTCTTAACGATGTTTTCACGTATGTATTCCCATTTGTCCTTCACTAAGTATTTTTGTTTTTGCCAATATTCTAAATTTGTATCCACCTTTAATTTTAAGTTTAAGAATCGTTTGACAAAGAAAGTTGGTTGCTCTTGTTAGAAAGCCCAATAAAATTCCTAATCCAGTTCACGTCTGTATTTTATGATCATTCAGGGGTGGACAATTCGGTCTCCCGCGCACCCTCGACGACCGGTTTTAATATGCGGGAGATGACTTATTGTTACATATGGTAACCGCTGGGCGACCAAATTTTTACTGGAAATGTCCACCCCGGTCGCCAGAGTTCCAATTTGGGAGACCACGGGCCATATGCGGGAGGCCACTGAAAAAGCTGCTGGTCTCCCATCGGGAAACAACCTTTTTATTGGAATGTTCCACTTCTGATCATTCCATTCGTTTGGTCGAGACTCCAGGGCCTATTGTGAAATTGACGTGTTGCAGGCCTGTGTTTCAAGGTAAACGGTCAAATAGCCATATAATTTCACTACGAGCAACCAACTGCTAAAAACCTTGTATAGGTATACCCATCCATCTTGAGTTGTTTCAGTTACCACATGTTATTGTTTGTATTTACCTTTACCTATTGCAAGTCAGTGACGTCACTCGATCTGTGTTTTTCCGTAGATGTTTTCCCTCTTCACAAAATATACTATCTTTGGGACACTCTTTTGCTTGGAAGTTCGCTTCTACCACTTTGTATTGGCGTTGCGATCCTACAGCAAGTCAGAGACCAGTTAATCAGCTTTGGATTCAATGAATGCATTCTATTGTTTTCTGACATGCCAGGTAATTTACAGTGCTTGTAGGTATGAATGATAATGCGGATTGGCTAACATAAACGTTATTGTTTCATAGAGCCTTGTCAAGCCTTGAAATTTCCTCTTGAAAATTCTCTTCCTTTAATGGCAGACAGATTCACCATAGCTCTGCTAAGGTTTAGCACCCCTTTTTGGGAGACCTTAGGTTATGTTTCGTGGATTCCTTTTAGTCACTTTAAGTTACCGCGAGTTTTGCAAAAAATGTTTTAAGATGTTGGCTTCTTCGAGGGGGGGAGGGGGGCGTCTTTTTCGAAGTTGAGGGCTTATTTAGCAGCAGCCAAAATTGAGTCTGGTCTGGATGATTAGGAAATGCAGATATATTCGGTTAAACCTATTTCTATCGAGGCATTATCACAGCCCATAGGGGCTTATTCGAAACGGTAGTTTTTCAGAAATTTTTCTGCACTGTGGTTGAGCAGCAACAGTTTCATTTGCAGTACCTGTGGATTTCTTTCCAGTGTTCCTTTTTAAGAATGCCTAAATTTGCCTTTAAAACGCCAATAGTGATTTCTTGTCTTTGCACGGTATCTAGTTTATATGTTTGTTGTTTGTTAGTGGTGCTGAAAATGAATTTTATTTCCCCAGGAATTGATATCGAAAGAACAGTCAAGGATTCGATCAGAATATTCAACCACACACCGCCAAGCATTGGGCTGCGTCGTTGTGACAATCCAGCAAATAGAACAAAGGCTCCAGAGGAAGAAAAGTTCATGCAACTTCCTGTAAGAACTATCTCTTTAATTTCATTTACAAGTAACGTGTCGTTGACTTTGTCAATTTGCATTTCAACTACGGATGAAAAACTGAAAAAACATATCTCTTTGCAGGACAAAGAATTTCTTCCGTTGGAGCAGTTGAAATCAGAGGTATGCCCACGAATCTCCCCTAGGGATTTGGTAAGGATCGCAAGCATCGTGCAAAGCCAAGGTAAAGACAATAGAATTAACAGTATAATTCATAATAGTAATAGTACTTTAAAGTGAAAAAAATATTACGGATTCATCGTCGCCAAGCTATAAGACTGGGATTTGACAGAAAAATAATTATGCTTCAAAGTCCATTCAAAGTTTTTGTAGCCCTGATTTTTTGTAAAAAATTTATCCTTCTAACCTATTTTCAATTTGCAGATTGTTCAAATAAATACGATGTCAAAGAAACTAAAAAGAAGTCGACCAAGGCAGAAAAACAAACACCCAAACTTGAAGCACGACTCGGCAAAATGCTTATTGTCGACGTACGGCCTGTGGAGGAGTATCCTTTTCTATCTTAGGGGAATTCCATTAAGCGTTCATTTATAATTGGGGAAAAGTGACTAGTGAAATAGAGACGGTTTTAGAAAAGAGCAAAATTTCTTATGACTTTAAGAGATGTTTTTATTACAGTAGAAAGTCTCTAGATATTTGACATCAGAGGTCTGTATAACTATTTTAAAAAGGAACGTGCGAAATGAAACGGAAATGATGTTAAAAAGAACTGATTTAAATTGACCAAAAACAAGCTTATATCCTTAACTATGTCCAGATATATTGCTGGACACTTTCCGAACTCAATAAATGTTCCATATGAACAAGCGTTCGCTCCGAACGGAGAGCTCTCTTCCTCAAATAGCTGCATTATTCTACAAAAGCATCTTGGCAAAATTATCATGGTTGTGGGAAATAAAGGACCTGATGCACCCGAGGTTAGAATTTTGATTTTTGTAATTGATTTTGATTGAGAAAAACAAAACAGGTATGTATTTTCTTTTGGCCAAAGAAGACCACAGTCTTGATTTCACTTTTTTTAGTAGTGCCTTCAGAGAACATATGACACATCATAATTTTTTCGTTCACAACTTGGCTTTCTCGGGGTATCATATGTTTAAATCTTTTGGTTTATTCTTGACACCTCCAGGCTTTACACTGAAAGATAATCATGTTCGCTATTAATCCCAATTTGCCTCATTTCGTTTTATTTTCCAAATAATATTTATCCAGGAATATAGTAAAATACGCATGCACAAGTATGGAGCTCGCCAATACCGGCACGAGTTTCAAGGATACCAAATTAGCACTGCCAACTACCTCGGAGTCAGTATCAACTTGTTTTAGGGTGTACTTTATCCAGTGTGTGATGCTGTCTTGGTTGAAGGGAAATAGGGCTTAAGAAAGCAGGCTAGAATATCTCAGATTTGACTTGTTTGGATGTATTACTCATTTAAGTGAGTTACAATGCACAGGATTACCACTGTAAGCAAACGACCCAAGGGCCAGTTAGAGAATGCTACAGCCTTGAGAATGAGTTCCTTCTAACAGAGGTCCCTATTGTTAATAGTAATCAAAGAAGTCAATATTACATTATAACTGGAATATTTTTATGTCAAGTCTGAATTATTCATAAAAATGCCCGGTTGGTTTTCTCAACCTGTCAACAATCTCTGACTTTTTAAAGCCTGTGTCAGCTGTCAGGCCTATCTTGGAGATTATTGTGTGGTGAGATAATTTGATAACCAAACTCGTAAAGAAACAAGTAGTAAAATTATAAAAAGTTTCACTAACCTAGTAATTATTATAAATAAATTTTGCTAATCTCATTTTAGTTTGGTGCAAAGCTCGTCCGACTAGGATTTAGACGTGTCTCAGTTATGGATGGGTCACTAACTATTTTGAAGGCAAATGGATATTTCACTTCGGAATGAAGATCAAAATTTTAAAGGTGGACATTAGAATGGAAATGTAAGATTAGCTGTTAGTGATAGTACATCAAAGACTTGTAAATTATGTCGACAGAATTTTATTTTGAGTTATGGGTTTTAGACTGTAGATTGAGTTTTTGTATAATTTTTGTAAACATTATCAAGAAGTCGTAAAAGTATTTTGTTTGCAAATTTAGGTCTTTGATACATTTCACCTCTTTCTAACACGTTGTTATACAAAGATTCTCTCAAGACTACAAGTTAAAGCAGATAAATTTCGAATGAACTCATCATTGAATCATCAAATAATTGTTTTGTGACAATGAAAACTAAACCTTCCAGATAAACGCTAAGAATCTTGGGCTAAAGCCGCGCTGAAGTTACTTTAGTTGCAAGGCTATGGATATTCTTCTTGATGAAAAATCCGTCTTAATAGAAATGACAAGCTGAATTAATTGAATTTAATTTTTAAACATATTTACCATGGGATACATTTCAGTTAAATAATTACGCAACTGCCTTCCAACCCTCCCAGAAAACGAAATAAACCTAACCATTAAAGATAAAATTTAGTGACAATAATAAGACGTAGAGAAGCTACTAAACGTTATAAAGAAAATTAAAGTCAAAGATGCAAATCAACTTTTCTCAGATGTTCTGATTTTGAAGCTTTCAGTTTCGTTTTGAGTGACTGAGTCAAAGGGGCAAAATTCATTTCCGAGTCAAGTCTATTCCATGTATCGTCGCCATGAAACGCAAATGATTTCTGGCCATATGCTGTTTTTGCATAGCAAGATTGCATTTTTCATTGTAAAACACCCTGTTATAAATATTAGACAATTTTTCGAAAATATAACCTAATTTTTCAATGCAAGGTCATTTAATGACTTATAAACCATTGCAGGCACTGCGGACCAGGGAGACTTGGGGGGCTTTGGCCTTTTTTTATACGGTTTTCGCCCCCCCCCCACTTTTTTAGACCCCATACTTTTCTCAACGCTCCGCGGTGCCTGTCATTGCACACGCCAGTCAAGCCGCTGCAATAGAGGAGCAGCTAGAGTGTCAAAAGGGCTGCTGGTGACAATTCTGGCAGCTCTGTTCTGTAGTTGATGCAAGATTTTCAACTTTGTTGCCCCGCAACATCGCTAAACAGAGCAACAGTAACTGGAGGGTGGTTGAACAATACTAAGATACTTCTTAATGTCTTTTCTTGCATGTAGTGTTAAGCGAACCTCAAGAGTCCTGATAACCATAGAGAAGGCTAAAAAAAATTCAGTCGAGGTTACTGTATTTCTAACCAGATCCAGAAGTTAACTTTGGGTAAAAATGTGTTTCACACACAGGACTGATTTTCCAAACTAATGCTTTAATGTTTGGGGAAAGGTAATCATGAGAACAAATGATTTATTTTTTTGTAAGTATATAGGTCTACTTTGGATGAAAAGAACATTTGGTAAGAAAGAATTTATTTTGTATATCTATAAGCCTAGTTGAAAATATATTTGAGTGGAAATGACGAATTTTGGAAGCTCTTGGACTTTTTGGATGAAAAATCAACGACAATGTGATGGCTCCTTTTTGCAAGTCTGTAGCTTACGCAGTAATAGCATGTGGCTTTTGTACGAAAAGTGAAAGTGACTAGCAATAACTCATTTTGTATGTTTAAATACCTACTTTTAACCAAAGATAAAAATAAATCGAAATCATCCGTTCGTAAGTCTACTAATTTGCTTTTTGAAAGTGTAAAAACTTGAGTAAAAATAAAGAATTTTACAGTTGTGAAGGCGTGCCTTTCGATCAAAGTTACACAATATAAAACGTTTTCTAATTCTAAGGGATTATCTTTGGATTAAGTATCAAAAGTGACTTAAGATAACAAATTGTCCATGTCTACAGTCTTATGTTATTCACATTCAATACTGTCAAGAAAGAACTCTTTTTGCAAGAGAAACGTTTTGCCTTTTTGAAGATTGATCCGAGTATAAAACATATTTTCCAAGACGATTTAAGTTTTATAGGCTTAGATTTTTAAATTTTATACAGTCAAGAAAGAGCTCTTTTTAAAAAAAGAATTGCCTTACTTTTGATAAATGTATACAGTGACATAATTTTCAAGCCTATAGGCTTACATTTTTGAATTTAAAAAAGTCAAGTAGAGGTTTTTTAAAAAGAGAATAGTCTTACTTTTTATAAATGTATCCGGGTATAAAGTGACATAATTTTCAAGTCTATAGGCTTACATTTTTAAATTTTAAAAAGTCAAGAAAAGCTTTTATAAAAAGATAATAGTCTTACTTTTGATAAATGTATCCGGGTATATAGGGACATAATTTTCAAGTCTATAGGCTTACATTTTTAAATTTTAAAAAGTCAAGAAAAGCTTTTTTAAAAAGAGAATAGTCTTACTTTTATAAAGATTAGATCAGCATCGAATGATGTATTTCAAAGTTTATACGTTTTTATACGTTTTAAAATGTATAATAGGATACTTTTTTCAAAACTTATAGCTCCAAAAAAGAGTTCTTTTTGCTATAGTAGGGCCTTACTCGTTTAAAGATTTTTCCGCTTATAAAATGACATAAAATGACAAGGTCCATAGGCTTACGTTTCTTCAAAATTTATATCTTCAAAAAGAAGCTCTTTTTGCAAGAGAATTGCCTTACATTTATCCCGGCAAAAAAAGACATATTTTTAAAGTCTATAGGCTTCGATTTGTTTTTCGTATTTTGTACTGTCAAGATAGATTGCTTTTTGAAAGATAATAGTCTTACTTTGACAAACATTTATCCAGGTAAAAATGATATAATTTCGAAGTGTAAAAGCTAACGTTTTGAAATTTTTCACTGTCCAGAAAGAGTTCTTTTTGCAAGAGAATAGCCTTACTTTTATAAAGATAAATCCGAGTAAATAAATTACATATTATTTAGGTCTTTAGGCTTACATTTTTTCAAATTTTATACAGCAAAGAAAGATTTTATTTTGCAAGAGAATAGGCTTATTTTGATAAAGTCCAGAGTCCAGAGTACTTTATTTTTCTAGACTTATGCTCAATTTTTTCAAGATTGATACAGTCAAGAAAGATTTCTTCTTGCAAAAGAATATGGATACTTTTGAAATGATTTATCTGAAGAAAAAATCACATGTTTCTCGTGTTTACTGGGTGACGTTTTACAAATTTCACTAAATCAAGAAAGAGTTATTTTGAAGAGAATAGGTGTTCTTCCACAAAGCTCGATCCGAGTTAAACTGACATTTTTCCCGAATCTATAAGCTAACGCGTTGGTAAAGTAAAGGCGGTAAAAAGGTGACTTTTTTCAAAGAGCAGGCTTTTTCGTAGACAGATAGGAATCTGAGGTAAAATGACATATGTCTATAAGCTTACGTATTTCAAGTTTGAAAAAAGCAAGAAAGATATGAATTCTATTTGCAAGAAAAAGAGTTTTACTTTTGGAAAAATACACATCTGAGTATAAAATGACATATTTTTCCAAGTCCATGTGATCTATTTTCCAAGACTACAGTTTCCAGAGACTGTCTTTTTGTCAGGTGGAAAGCCAAAAACATTTTCTGGAGAGGTACAGATATGATTTTTGTTGACAAAAAAGGGCGTGTGTCACTTTCTAAGGGTGTGGTCAAAAGATGAAAAATCTTATATGCTGCTTTTATGCGTTTCTATTTCAAAATTTATACTTCATACCTTGAAAGTTCATCTACTACAGAAAAGATAATATGTTAAATATTTTACATAAAGTTTACAGAATATGAAAATATTCTTCTTTGGCCGGCAAAGATCCTTTATGTGCCGAAAGAGCACCACTCCCCCCCCCCATACCCCGCTTTGCTGAAGCCCCTGTTATTTTTTAAATCTAAAACTGGCTGGAAATAATTAATTTGTCAATAACTCGAGTTTGCAGTCTGACGTTTTTTTGAAAATTAAAGTCTAACGTTTAACAATTTTACAAATGTATAGGCATAAGTTTCATTTCCAACTCACTTAGGGGCTCACTTTTCACTTTAAATTGAAGGTTATTTATTATGATTCATTTTGTAAGTCATTAAGCTTACCTTGAAAGTGAAAGTGACAAGAAGTTACAGTTCTTATGTGTAAAAGCTTACCTTGACTCAAAAACTATTTAGGCGTAAAATGAAGGATAGAATTAGAATTATCCATTTTACAATTAGCAAGGCTCACTATTTTTAAGAAAATGACTCATTCTGCATGTTTTAAGTCTTTATCCTGAGTGGAAGTAATGGAAATCCTTGTTCTACCTTTTTCGAAAGTCATAGGCTAATATATTCAAGAAAAACGTAACCGAATAGAAAAAGGAACCGAATAGAAAAAGGGCTCCTGACATTTTATAGCCTTAATGTTTGCTTTAAAAGGAACTTTAATGAAGTTTAATGAAGCAACGACTTGGAAAGAAGAGGAGGGGAAACATCAGTTGGAAAGAAGAGGAGGGGAGTGGCAAGGGCCAATTGTACACAGGATCCTAACAAAATATTTTGCCAAGAAAGCAGAAAATCGCTTGAAGTAATGCTTTAGGCTTTTTTAAATACAAGAAGAAAGAGTGCTGAAATTATAATTGTTTGTGCAAGGTTACTTTCTTTATTGCGAATGAAAACGTATTGAGACAAATGACGCCTGGAAATTAAAACTTAAGACCAATTTATGAACGCCAAGTAGGCTAGATTTGCATTGTTATGCATTATGCAGTGATGGCACATTTATCCTGGATTTTGAGGTTCCTCTATTTGTTCAACTATCTTATAATGTTCGATCCTGTCTATCATTAATGATTTAACTAGTAATAATGATCAACCAGATCAGAAGCTCAATTGTTTTCCTTTAGGACTGATTATCATAACAGCCATGATTGAATGCTAGAGAGAGAGGGAAAAGAAAGCTAGAGATACCTTTGTATCAACTCCCTTTCACACTGTTTGTGATTCAATGAATCGGGCGGAATGATTTCAATAAAAAAACTGAATTGGAAAATATATGTGATTTACAAAACATAATCTGGAAACAGAAGAAAGAGAATAACACAGAAATGCGATCATCCTTGTTGCAAATGATATCTTCCTCACCCTTTTGCCACAAATAAAAACATCCACAAAGAATTATCAGCCTATGAGGAATAATCTCCTAGTCTCGTATTCGTATTCGAAGCCTTTTGAAGTGCCGGAAAAGT